GACTCTATGATCTTTATTTAGCATATACCTCTCTCCAGGCCTTAGTTTCCTTCTGTGAAAAATGAGGATTTATGATTTCATGCTCTGAGTTTCTTTCACAGGTGATCAAATGTTTATATCCAATGACTACAGGCAACCTCATTTTTTAACTTATTAAGAACTCTAATATAAAGTGAAGGATTATCATAAGAAGTTCCATCATGTTATTTAAAAAAGGCATGGGGATTTGGGAACCTGAATTTTGAGATGGATTTTAATTCATGCTCCACCACTTAATATATTGCCTTATAAAATTTTCTTACTTCTCTTGCAAAATGTGAATGTCAGTATGATAAGGATTATGGTGATAGAACTGGCTTATATGCCAGTTTGTAGGAGCCAATTGTCAAATATTTAGAAACTTTGTAAGCAAGATGTTAAACCACTATTAGCTTAAATCTGCTATGGTGGGAGTATTTATACTGGGGAAATAAGCAAACACTACAAATCAGATGCCTATTGTTTTGGAGAGTTGATTTACCAGTACATAGCTGATAGTGCAAACAGTGCTGTCAATTATAAATCACTCTGTCTTACTTATTATTAAAATTAATAATGGTATTGGGCATGATGGTGCATACCTGTAATCCCAGCATTTTGGGAGGCTTAGGCAGAAGGATTACAAATTCCATGGTAGCCTCAGTAACTTAACAAGGCCCTATTTCAAAATTTAAAAAAATAAATAAATTAAAAGGCTGGGAATGTAGCTCAGTGGTAGTGCACACACCAGGTTCAATCTTCAGTCCCTCCCACCAAAATAGTAATGGTAACAATAATGTTCTGTGTACATAGAACCTAACCTGATGCATGRAACTGCTTCAAGTACATTTACCAAATACATCTTTAACTTTTACTATTTAGAAACTTCTGTACCTGAGCTAAATGAGCCCTCATCTTTACCTCTTTTTAAATTCTTCTCTACAAAGTCTACTTTTCAAATGAGAAAACATAAATAAAAGCCTATTTTAGTGCAWGACACACAGTGGACCTTAATTAAATTCTCTACTTCCTTAACTAAGTTAATTATCTCCTTATTAAACCTTCATTTCTTTTGGTCTTTCATATCTCAGTTATCAACACTGTCCAATTATCTGTATCCCAAATAAGTTACTTGAAAAGGCTTTCTTCCCCTCTCCCCTTTTTTCCATCCTCATGTGTATGATCAATTCCTAACCTTTACCAATTCAACCTCTTAAGTCTGTCCTGTTCTCTTGATTGCCATTGTTACTGCCTTAGTTAGGGCCATCATCATTTTTTTCTTGAACTTCTAACTGAACATTTAGCCTTTCCCTTCAATCCAATTTCCACTTCTGTAGATATAATCTTAATTTATTTTATTTTCGGACCAAATCCCTCACCTACTCAAAACTTATTAATGGCTCTCTATTGCCTGAAGGATAAAATCTAAAGGTTTAGCTTATCACTCAGCTCCACCATAGTCTGACTTTTGCCTGTCTTTTCTAAGAGTTGTCTCTTACTGTTCCCCAAACCTATGTGGAATAACCAGTCTTTCTTTCCTAAAGACTCCCTAATTAACCCTTCAACACCCAATTCAAAACTTCTTCCATGACATCTCTAGATGTATTCCATATATTTTTCTGAGCTCCCATGGCACCTTTAACATACGTTTATACAATGTGTAACCATGTGGCTGTTGCTATTGGTCTTTCCCTCTAGGTTGTAAGCACCAAATGGTAGGAATCTAGCACCATTTGTTAATGCCTAACACCATTGTGCAGCATATAATAGAAGCTCATTAAATGTTTGAATGAATGAGAGTATAGAAGATAGGATATTTTCATTGGTTCACAAACACACGTTATTCATGTATTATAGAAATGGAAAAAAAGGCTTAAAATGTGGGTCTCAATAATGAGGAGGGAAAATAATAAAATGGGAATGGTCTATTTTTATCCATAATCCTCAATAGAGGAAACTGTGGCTCAGGCTAAAATCCAAAACTTTCAATCAAGCCCCTATCTGTCCTTTAAGTCATTCTCTGTGTACACCAAGTAGCCTGCATTCCWGCAACTCTGGATTTCTCATCTATCCCAGAGTCTTTCATCCCTGCCCTAATTCACACTTTCCCCTGTACCAGTAATGCCTTCTCCCTCTTCTCTCACTCACACCTGAAGAATTCATACACTTCCTTCAAATGAATCAAAAGTTACCTTTTTAAAGTTACTTTTAAAAAGTTACCTTTTTAAAAGTTACCTTTTTACCCTCCCTCTTCTGTGTTGTCAGAGCACTGAATTCATGATAAGCACTGCAATGTCAGTCTTTGCCAGTCTTATCTTTTGGCTTTCAATAAAGTGAAGTCATTTTTATACTCTGGCCTTTAGCATGTTCTAGGTGCCTAATACAGAGTGAAGGAGCAAATGAATATTATATAGGGAAATGCAAAAAAAAAGTAAATTTTTCATAAAATATACTTTGAATGATTTTTTTAATTAAAAACCATACGTGTATGTGTGTGTGTGTGTGTGTGTGTGTGTGTGTGTGTGTGTGTGTTGCTGAAGATTGACCCAGGCCCTCACATGAAAATTTTAAATCTATTTTTAGTTAACATGTAAACTTTGTACATATCCATGGGGAACCATGTGATGTTTTAATATATATATATACATACATTGTATAACACTCAAATCAGGGTAAACTTATCTGTTTGCCCAAACATTTATCAATTTTTTTGTGGAAAAACATTTAAAATCCTTTCTTTTAGATTGTTCGAAATAAAGCCATTATCATTACTTATAGTCACCCTGCTGTGGAATAGAACACCAGAACTTATTTCTCCCTTCTAACTGTAACTTAATAACCTATTGACCAACCTTTCCCCATTGTTCCTCCCCTGTACTTGATCCAATCTCTGGTAACTAGTATTCTATTTTCAACTTCAATCTCTGGTAACTATTCTATTTTCAACTTCTATGAGATCAACTATATTAGATTCCACATGTGAGTGAGTTCATATGGCACTTGTTTTTCTGTACCCGACTTATCATCACTTAACATAATATTCTCTAGTTGCATCCACATTGTCACAAATGACAGGATTTAATCTTTTTTCATAGCCGAATAATATTCCATTATGCAAATGTACCATATTTTCTTTATTCATTCATCCATCAATGGACACTTTGGTTGTTTCCATTTCTTATTAATAGTGCTGCAGTGATAATGGGAGTGCAAGAGATTCCTTAAAATGGTTTTCATTTCYTCTGGATAAATAACCAATAGTGGTATTGTTGGACCATATAGTAATTCTAATTTTAAATTTTGGAGAATCTGCTATACTGTTTTTCATAATGGCTCTTCTTATTTACATTCCACTAACAGTTTATAGGGGTTACTTTTTCTTCCACATCCTTGCCAGCACTTATCTTTTGAAGAATAGCCATTCTAACGGGAGTAAGGTGATATCTCATTGTGGTTTTAATTTGCACTTTAATTTAATTTGCACTTTCCTGATTATTAGTGATGTCAAACATTTTTCCATATACCTGTTGGCCACTTGTATGTCTTTTTTTTAAAGAGAGAGAGAAAATTTTTTTAATATTTATTTTTCAGTTTTGGTGGACACACATCTTTATTATATTTTTATGTGGTGCTGAGGATCGAACCCAGCACCCTGTGCATGCCAGGCGAGCACGTTACCGCTTGAGCCATATCTCCAGCCCCACTTGTATGTCTTCTTTTGAAAAATGTCTATGGGTCTGTTGCCCATATCAAATCATATTATTTCTTTTTATGCTATTAAGTTCAGTTTCTTATATATTATGGATATTAACACCTTATCAGATGTATAATTTGCAAATATGTTCTCTCATTCTGGAGGTTGACTCTTCATTCTGTTGATTTTTTTTTCCTTTGCTGTGCAAAATATTTTAGTTTAAATCCTGATTGTGTGTTTTTTTCATGTGTTTCCTGTGCTTTTGGGGTCTTATCCTGCTTTGAACAAATTTAAGAATGATGTTGCATGATCTGGCTGATCTAGAACAAATCTGTTTGAAAGGTTAGATAGCCCCATATTACTCATGTACAGATCAGAAGTAAAGAACACATTTGAAGAGCTGAGGCTTAGTTGTGTTGCTCCAGATTTGGTGCTGTATAGTAAAAAACATTGATATCTCAGGAAGTTATTTTGTCATACACAGAAGACATTTGTCTACATGACTTAATGAATGTCTTAGAAAGTAAAGCAGTGCCCTAGTAAGATAAGGCTTTAAAAAAACAAGGAGAAAAAAATTAGTTGTAACTTATAGTAACATAAATTATAATAATGTAAGTATATATATATACTGATTTCCCTTGTGGAAAAGGAAGTCATTTTATCTGATTAAAAAAATAACAGAGCGAGGTATGGTGGCACATGCCTATGATCTCAATGACTCTGGAGACTGAGGAAGGAAGATCACAAGTTTGAAGCCAGCCTGGGTAATTCAGCAAGACCCTACCTCAAAATAAAAAAATAACAGGTGCTGGGGGTGTAGCTCAGTGATAGAGGGTCCCGGGATTCAGTCCCCAGTATGCAAAGGGGATTAGGGGAATGATAGTTATAAATACAGAATGCTTGGAATACCTTGAAAATCACAACACTCTAAACTGCTCCCAAATCTAACCAATTAACTATTGTTAGTTCTTTGGATGAATCCTTCTGGTCTTTTTCTTTTGTGTGTGTTTGTGTATCCTTTTAAATGAAAAAAAAAAAATATATATATATATATATATATATATATATAGTTCCAACCCTTTTAAATGATATGTCATGAACAATTTTTCATGTTAATAATTATTCTTTCACAACATAATTTTTCGTTGTGAACAGTATTGCATCAAATAGAATAAACCACAGTTTAATCCTCCTCATCATTTTAATGTTTTTATTATATAAACAGATGTAGTAGTAAGGACACTAAAGATTTAAACAGTGATCTCAGGCCCTGCTTTTGTTTTCCCAGGTTTGGGAGCCCTCTTGTGCATCAGACCTCTATTCTAATAATCCTCTGAGTGTCATCTCAGGACCTCGGTCACACTCATGGCACGATGGCCAACCCTCAGGAGCGCCTGAGCTGCTCCTCTTCTCCGCATTTCCCCTCGAGTGAAAACAAAACCTTCAATGGACTACAGGATGAGCGTGCAGCCATGGGGAACCACCCTCCACCCAGGCTCCTTGAGGACCCCCAGGAAAAGGGGGTCGTGCGAACAGAGCCGAGCGACAGCATGAACAGCCYGGTCACCACAACAGTGTTGACCAGCGTGAGTGAGGATTCCAGGGACCAGTTCGAGAACAGTGTTCTTCAGCTAAGGGAACAAGATGAATCAGAGATGGCTGTGTCTCAGGGGAACAGCAACACCGTGGACGGGGAGAGCACGGGTGCAACTGAAGACATCAAGATTCAGTTCAGCAGGTCAGGCAGCGGCAGTGGGGGGTTTCTTGAAGGACTGTTCGGCTGCCTAAGGCCTGTGTGGAACATCATTGGGAAGGCGTACTCCACCGATTACAAATTACAGCAGCAAGGTAAGACAGTGTGGGCGGGGCAAAGACTTCTTGCATGAGTGCACCGTCAGCACCATTCCCTCCAACATTAAAACCTAGATAACCTTTGATGTGTGGGGCAGTTAAAGAACTAGGTCAGATGACTACCCCATGTCAGTTCCCTTCAGACCTTCTAAGTAGACCAGATGCACATTTGGTGTGTCTTTTTGGTTGGAACCCATCTTATATGGTCATCCTGTCTAGTGGTGTCCAAAGTAGAGAACATACAGCACAATCCATGAGTTTAAAATAAGAAAAAAATATTATAACTCCTCTTTTTCTCTCTTTTAAAATTTCTATTTTCATGAATGCCTTCAGATATATTTGATATTATAATATAGTTGTGTAGATATACAATTTTTAAATAAATCACATAGTGGGTGCGTGTTTAAGCATTTTTTTTTTTTTTTTTTTTTTTTACTGTTAGCCTATACAATCAAAAGGTCTGATGGCCAGGCTGGGGTTATAGCTCAGTGGTAGAGAGGTTGCCTCACACGCATGAGGCCCTGCTGGGTTTGATCCTCAGAACCACATAAAAAAATTAAATTAAAAATAATAAAGATATTGTGTCCATCTACAACTAAAAAAAAAAAATTTAAAAAAAAGGTCTGATGGGTAAAGTGGCATGAGTCTCTAATCTCAACTACTTGGAGACTAGCTGGAAGGATCACTTGAGTCCAGGAGTTCAAAGACAAGCTGGGCAACATAGCAAGACCTCATCTCAAAAGAAAAGACAAAAATAGTCTGATGGTCATTGGGCTAATTCATTACCAAGCAGAAGTCACATGGTAATGTCCTTGAAGATCATAGGACTACCTTAGATTACAGTAAAAAGGAATTATTATTTTATAGTAAAGGCATAGAAAGCTCACATTTTGAAGAAAGAACAAAATATCTAACCAATCTTGAGAAGAATATTATATCTAGATCCCACAGTTTTTTAAATAGTGATTTTTCAGTTGCCATTATTGTATAACATGTGTATTCATATATTAGAATTCAAGTATTATACTTTTGAAGTAGGGGGAACACGTGGTCCTCATGTTCTGTTCTTTATAACCTAACTTTATTCTCTAAAAGGACTTTTTATTGATAACAAAAGCAACATATGTATGGAATTTGAAAAATAAAAGTAACTTCCCTAAAATATGTTAAAATAATCTATGATCCTTACTCTCTTGAGAATAACTACTATTAATGTTTTAATAATATGTTACGTTGGGCTCAGCACTTGTCTAGCATGAACGAAGCCCTTCGGTTCTATCCTCAGTGCCACACACACACAAAAAAAATCAGCATGTATGTTGTTTGTGCATGTATATATACTTTTAAAAATGGAGACATACTATTTGTAGCATTTTTTTCATTCATATTGTGAACATTGTGTCTATTTCTTAAATATATTTTAAGCATCATTTTTAACGCCTACCTAATATTAAATTGTCCAAATGTGCTAACATTTATTTAAAAAATCTCCTATTGCTCACCTCTGAATTTGTTTTTATTTTTAGAGATCGTAAGTCACATTGCAATGAATATTTGTCTATCACTTTATTTTTGCATATATTTTTGTTTAGTTCTTAGTATAAATTCCTAGATGAACAATCATTGAGTCCAACAGATTTTTTTTGTTTTTTTAAAGACTTCTTTTTAGTTGTAGATGGGCACAATACCTTTATTTTATTTATTTACGTGGTGCTGAGGATCAATGCTTGCAAGACAAGCACTCTACTACTGAGCCACAACCCCAGCCCAGATTTGTTATTTTTAAAGTTTTTGATACATTTCCTTGTGGCCTTATTTAAATGATTCTTTTCTTGAGTGCTAGCATCAAGAAATTCTGGAAAGAGCTGGGTGCGGTGGTGCATGCCTGTAATCCCAGCAGCTCAGGAGGCTGAGGCAGGAGGATTGTGTGTTCAAAGCCAGCCTCATCAAGGGTGAGACAGTAAGCAGCTCAGTGAGATCCTGTCTCTAAATAAAACATAAAACAAGGCTAGGGATGTTGTTCAATGGTCAAGTGCCCCTGAGTTCAATCCCCAATATCTCCCTGCCAAAAAAAAAAAAAAAATCTGGAAAGAAAAAAATATAGACCAAAGTTGAGATTGTTTTATTTATCTTACAAGTAAATAACTGAATTTCAAACTCTGTGACCCTCCCTTCAGTCTGTTCATCTTTCAGTCAAGAGTATGGACAGCTTTTCCACAAGAACCTATTGACATCAGTCACCATAGTCCCTTTCCTCATGCATCTGTGTTTCCTATTTCAGAAATAGGAAAATACCAAATAAATCAAATACCAACTTTCTCTCAGTACCCATCCTCCAGAAGTATATTGGGATTTACTGGTAAATCTAAAAGTTCTAAGTACTTTTCAGGATTTTTCAACCACAGCATCCATTCCTGCTGCATGCAGAAATTCTTCATCAGTTTTGTGTTAGACGTATTCTATCTGTCTGTCTCTCTTTCATGCATACACTAATACCCTACACATTCTACTCTCAGCTGCCTTCCATGATTTTTAGGTTCCAAGGAAATTAAAATTGTTTCTTGTCACACAAAGTTTGAGGAGTCCTGTGTTAAGTAGTACTAAATAGCAATATGGATTAAAAATTGTAAATAAGGGCCAGGCACAGTGGTATACGCTTGTAATCTCAGTGACTCCAGAGGCTATCCCAAGTTCAAAGCCAGCCTCAGCAATTTAGTGAGGCCCTCTCTCAAAATGAAAAATAAAAAAGACTAGGGAGATGGCTCAGTGGTTAAGCACCCCTGTTCAATGCCAGGTACCAAAAAAAAAAAAAAAAAGAAAAAAAAGAAATAAGGGTAAGCACAAAAAAGAAAATAAAAATTACCTGTCATCCTAAAACCCTTTCTTTCTTTCTTTCTCATCCTACAATTAACTTTCTTCCTTCCTTCCTTCCTTCCTTCCTTCCTTCCTTCCTTCCTTCCTTCTTTCCTTTCTTTTTTGTGGTACTCAAAATCAGACCCTTGCATCTTACACATGCAAGACAGGTACCCTACCACTCATCTATATCTGCATCTGTCCATAACCCATTCTTAATGAACATATTTAACTTATTATTTTTTAAAAGTTCCCTTTTCTCTGCTTAGACATAAAACCTAATAAAAAACTAACACCCACTTATGTAAAAAACAATATTTGGTTTTGAGGGGTTTTACTTGTCCAGTCTTGTACTTATTTTGGTGATAATTTGGACATCTCAGTGTCCAAACACATCACTGAGGTTCAGAGTCATAAAAGGGGGCAACAAACATATACTGTACATCTGCTAAATGAAGCCTTTTAATTTTTTTTTTTTAGTTCTATAAACTTGAATTCAATTTTGTGTTCCAATCAATTATGTGACTTTCAGGAAACCTTATTTCAGGAAAAATTAAGAAACAGACCTGGTCAGCATTAATTCTCAACATGGTACAGCAGATGCCCAGCTCCTCAGCAGATTGCAAAGAGTTAGGCACTAAGGGCTAGTGTTGCTGTAGGCTTGAAGAGGGATTTACCAGCCAGAAACTGAATATAGTGCTTCCTTCTCAGCTCTGAGATCAGGGAGCTAATCTTTAATCCTACATTGCAATCAACCACAGAATAACACATGTAACAGATGTATCCCCCTACTCTTGGTATTTAAGAGGAAATTTCACTAGATTTTTAAAAATTKTAATGATGTCCTCATCTCCCTTTTAAGTATCCTCATAGTGAAACCCAAGTAAGGTAGTATGTGTTATTGAAATATTTTATGGACAAATAGTTTCCCATCTTGAAGCAGGTATTATCATGGCCACGTCTAAATAAACAAAAGAAAACTTTTGCCTTAAAGTAGGTGTTTTAGTCAGCTTTTTTGCTGCTGTAACTAAAGGACCCAACCAACACAATTATAGAGGAGGAAGAGTTTATTTGAGTGCTGATGGTTTCTGAGGTCTTGGTCCATAGAAGGCTGGCTCCATTCCTCAGGGCTCCAGGTGAGGCAGAACATCATGGCAGGAGAGGGTAGCAGAGGAAAGAAGCTCACATCATGATCAGATAGTAGAGAGACTCCACTAACCAGATACAAATATATACCCAAAGCCACTCCCCAATTCCCACCTCCTCCAGCCACACCCTACAACTTCAGTTACCACTCAGTTAATCCTATCAGGGGATCAAATCACAGATTGGGTTAAGACTCTTCCAACCCAATCATTTCTCCTTTGACCCTTCTTGTCTCACACATGAGCTTTTGGGGAACACCTCACACCCAAATTATAACAGTGGGTGATGTGAGGGTTTTCCTCAGTCCTATGAGTCACAATGGATATTGGAAATAAGTTAGTAGTTATTGTGATCAATCAATCAGAGAGAGAGAGAAAGAGTGTGAGAGAGAAGCTGGGAAAGGGTACAAATGGGATAGATATAAGAGCAGCAAAAATTCTTGGAACTAACTCTAGAGAGAATATAGCCAGTTCTGTCTTATAATGAGGTTAATTATCTTGCCTGACAGTTACCCAGCTATCCAAATTTATATGTCCTTATTGCTTTCTCTTTCCTGCTACTTTCCCATTCTTTGGCTTTCTCCTGGATACCAACAGGGACTGAAAGATGAAGCAGACAGGACTAAATTCACATTAATTAGTTTTACTTCTGGTAATTAGTTCCAACAAAAAGATTGATGGATACATGGTTGAAATATTGCTTTCTTTATTTTATACTCTTGTTCTTGAATGGCCAGTGCTATCCCTTTTCTTTTTCCATGGGTAATTAAGGCTTGACTGAATGTAGCTGAATAGCACAGGCATGAGCTATCATTGGAAAAAGAGAATTTTATTCCTTGTTATAACACCATAAACAGTTGATATTTGAATGCCAAATATATTTGCCATTTTCATTTTAATAATTCACGTATAATTCATTTTATAAAAATACTAAATTCTAGGCATTATTTTTAAAAATATAGTGATTATAATGTAAGCATCATAACACAATATGAAGAGAAAGGATGAATTAATTAATTGAATGATTTAGGAATTACTAAATAGCAATACCCATAAAATTTATATTTGCCTTCACAACACATTCCAAAATAAACTGCAGAAGGATATAAACGCTAAATTTTTAAAAATCAGCTCTAGATAGCTTTAGAAGACAGGCTACATTTTCTACAATGGAAAAAATTACAAAGTAAATACTAAACTATAATGAAACATTTTGTTTAAAAAACAGTAAAATTAGCTGGGTATGGTAGCACTTTCCTGTAATTCCAGCTACTCAGGAAGCTGAGGCAGGAGGATCACAAGTTCAAGGCCAGCCTCAGCAACTTAGTGAGACCCTATCTTGAAATTTTTACAAATTTTTAAAAAGGGACCGGGATATAGATCAATGGTAGAACACTTGCCCCTTACTCATAAGGCCGAGATTCAATCCCCAGTACTATAAAAGATAAAAAATAAAATTAGAAGAAAAAGGCTTATGAAAAATATTATTTTCATTTTTATCAAAAAATATTTAGAGAACTTCTTCAAATTTATTAGAATGACCCTGTCTGGATCCGAATAGATAAATGGACAATTCATACAAAGCAGATATGTGTATTAAACAAATGTGAGGAAATGGTCTGTATTTGACAATTAACTAGTTCAAACTCATAAAACACTATTTTATACCTAATTAGATTAGAACAAAAAATAATTGATGATACTGCTAGCAGAGTTGTGATGAAACCAACAGGTTCAGACATTGCTACTATCAGCAAAACTAGTAAACTCCTCACTTGTGATGAAAACAGTAAGTAGATGAAGAATCTGTAATACATGAAATAGTATATATCACTACAACTTTTACATAGCTGTAAACATAAAAACTAGAAAGAATTTTAAAGAGGAATAAAATCACATCTATAATGGGCAATGAGCAAGGACCTGTGGTAGAAAAAGAGAAAAGTTGACCAAACTTATAAGCTTAGGATAAGAAGGTAGGGTTGGAGAAGTGTTAGGACATACTTTGCTTGAAAGATATCTTTAATCTGCTCAATTTTAGTGGTTTAAAATACACACACACATACAAATAAAATACCAAGATGCATAGAAAAGTTGTCTTTCAGTGGGTCAGAGGGTAGGAGTTCCAGTGATGGTGATGTTGGTACCTTCAGAATGGCCTCATAGAATGGTCCCTGAGCAAATTTCAAGATCTCTTCAAGTTTGTTTCTCACTTGTGTGCCTAGATACTTGGGAAGTGCCATTTGAGGAGATCTCAGAACTGCAGTGGCTGGGTAGTGGAGCCCAAGGAGCTGTCTTCTTGGGCAAATTCCGAGCAGAGGAAGTGGCCATCAAGAAAGTGAGAGAACAGAATGAGACGGATATCAAGCACTTGAGGAAGTTGAAGCACCCTAACATCATCGCATTCAAGTAGGTCAAGGCTTTATCTTTTTTTTTTAAGAAATAGAGATATTTTATTTCTCTCAATATATGTACTTAGATTCTTACTTTGAAAGACATTTCAAAATCACTGGATAGATTTAGCACTGTGCTAGATTGATTGGAAGGACATTAAAGAACTATTAAATCTGAGTCATGTCCTGAAACATCTTTTAATCTAAAAGTTCATTTTGCACAAACATGCACTGCATGGGAGAGACACACACGTGGGGCAGGGAGGAAGGTTGTGGATTTCTACCAAGCAGTCAGGCCTTCTGCAACAACCTCATTTATCAATGAGGTGACAGAGGTCACTTCAAAATAACCTGAATATCCCAAGACTCAGTTTAAAAAAAAAAAAAAAAAGCTAATGTCTGAAGTGTTCAGAGAATATCCAATCCCTGTGTAATAGATATTTACTAGTTTCCATTAGCATTCCTTCTTAATATTGTCTTATAATATAAACAGGTACTTTCAGAGCATAATCTCAGGTTTTACTAGATCCCTTTTCTATCAATGCAAAAGTTTTCTAAATCTTGTGATAGTGGAGTTATTGATGATATTAACTTATGCTATATTCCTTTCACAAAGTCGTTGTTTTCAAGAGTGTGTGAGCATATATTTCTAGTCTAGACTATTATTTCTAAATATCAACTGGGATCTCTAACAGAAGGAAGAGAGGCAAAGGTAAATTTGTGGAAGTCACCAAACTTGGAAGTGCTAAGCTCTAAAATATTTTAACCTCTTCTACCTGTACCTTTTCCTTGAGTTCCCCCTCTCACCAGCCTTTACATGTTGCCATAGTATTGAACAAATGAATGCTAACTGGCTTTAGGTGGGATGAAAGTTTAGAAACTAGAGGTTCTGGCATATTTGATAATATTTCTCCTTCCTGGAGAGTAGTATAACCAATGAGGATGTAGCTAAAAGTGAAATAACTTACATATCTCTTCCCTAAAGTAGGAGCAACTTTCCCAACAACCTTAAGAGGATCTTTTCACTATAAAACTCACCTTACAAGCCAGGCTGGTGGTACATGCCTATAATCCCAGTGACTTAGGAGGCTAAAGCAGGAGGATACGGAGTTCAAAGCCAGCCTCAGCAACAGTGAGGCGCTAAGCAATTCAGTGAAACCCTATCTGTAAATAAAATATAAAATAGGGCTAGGGATATGACTCAGTGGTCAAGTGCTGCTGAGTTCAATCCCTGGTACCCCCCCTCAAAAAAAAAAACCTCATGTTACAAAGCTAAAAATGTCATGTGACAAGTCTTAACGGAATCACAACCCCAAAGTAAGGAATAGAAGTTTTTGGTACAGGTTTTGTAGAATGGGTTTTAATGAGTACGTAGGTTAAGAAGGCTCCGTGGAAAGGGGAAAACGTGAAAAGGAGAAAAACATACTCAAAGACAAAGGAAGTGTTTGGATGTATTTCCTCATGCAGAGAACATTCATGTAGAGTACATGAGAGTGAGCTTCAATTTCTGTCATAATTCCATCATTTGTTGCCCTAGTACAACTAGGAGGATGCATGACTAAAATTAAGTGCTATAGAGACCAATTATAGTTTTTCCAAGGATGAGATACTTCAAAAGATAACAGGATAATCATTTTAAGCAGCTAATAGAGACCCCATCTTCTTTTCTTCATTTTATTTCACTGAAATGATCAGACTCCCTCTATGCTGTATCCTCCTAAATGGGAGGAAAGGGCCAAGAACTTTCTAAACTCAGATAATAGAACAGTGGGTTGAAACAAAGAGTGTTTGATAGATTAGCATGGCTTTTGGTCTCCTGAAATGACCTAGGCTGTGTGCCCCAGGTAAGAGATCTTTCCAAGGAGGATGCCCTGGGTAATGGGAGGTAGAAATGTATCCCTAAGAGGATGAAGGATCAAGAAGCTTTATCTTTCCTTCCATCCTTTTGTTTCTTCCTTCTTCCTCCCAGTCTTTTTCCCACCTCATCCTCTGACCCTTCTACCTGTATTTACAGTTTTCAGCATTGTTGGGCAAGTTCTGCTGCACTGCTGCCCAGCCATTTAAGCTGAAGATCCCCAGTTGCCTTTACCTCCACATGGCAAACAATAGTGAGACTGTGTCCCTGACCCATTACACCATGCATTTGGGGCATTGTGCAGTGTTATATTTGCAGCCATCTGTGCCATGTGTTGCTTGGCCAGTGAATCACATTCAGGACCGTCTGGAAGATATGAGGACGTTATTAGATTTTAATACATGTCCCTGGATTCTGATTTCTGGGCTTATAGCTTCTTTTGAAGTTAGTAAGAACTATGTGTAGAAAGGGAAGTGCAAGATAAGAATGTTATATATTTTTCTTCCATTTTTTTCTAGTAATCCTTTAAGAAAATCCAACCTGACTGTTCCTAATAAATTCAGTACCAAAAGGAAGAAAAGGTAGCAATTAGAACTGATAATAAAGCTGTTATTTATAGCAACTAAGAAACCTTGTCATAGTACAAGGCTGATGGAATGATCGCTTCTCATTCGTCAGTCAAGAGAGATGAAAAATTTAAAACGTATCACTGTTAGACCCTTTCTGTGTTTGAGTGACAATAAAGCATAGTTGAATAGGATGCTGAGTACTTTCAAAMAAATATTTATCTTGATATTCTTAAATATTTTACATAATCCCAGTCCTATTCATTATTTCTCTACAATGATAATTAAATTATCTATTTGTAGTTGGTGTGTGTTCTCCTCTGAGTTCTTTTTTTTTTTTTTTTTGAGATTTCTTGAAGGTCAAATAATAAAAACCTGAAAAAAAATTTTAGATTTGTTTTTTTTAGTTATATATGAAACTTGAAAAAAATTGCATGAAAAGTCAAGATGAGAATTCTGAGTAGCCTAGAAAATAATAGGAGAGTAATAGAAGTAGCTTTGTGGCATTTGACAGGCACATCAAGGCACAAAAAATGAAGTCTAATTAAATTTCTTTAATTATAACAAGATGTTCCCATTATCAGCACCTCAAACCATGGCCTCTAAGTTCTTTCCTCACAGCAGCCTAAGAGATAGGACATGAATTGGTAGTTGGCTCAAGACCCTAACTGGATGTCATATAGTAGTACTCTGTGAACTTTTCTAGAAAGTTTCAAGGGAGGTGTACACACCATTAAGAGGTGGGACACAAAGAATTGCAGATGATAGTTATTCTCCTTTTGTCTTGAGAACAAAACTGTGAGGTAGACTTAATATCATTTTTCCCACTTTTGTGAGCTAATGGAATTAACATAGGAATTCCCAATATGCTTGTCTATACTGAAGTTTAAAAAGCTAAAATGAAGGTAGTACCATACAGAAAGAGGAAGGAGCCAGGCTTTGAAGTTAGACTGAGTTTGAAACTGACTTCTGTCACTTATTAGTTATATGAACTAATTGTAATTAAGACAAGTCACTTTCACTTTGAGCCTTACCTGTAAAAGTGGAAGAGATAATACCTATCTTCCAGTAGTTTGTAAGACAGATCTTAAATAAGACAAACTGTGTGGGATATTAAATAAGACAAACAAACATAAACATGTCTGAAAAATATAAGATTTTTTTTCCTGATATTATTCTTCTTCCTGTTCCATGCCTCTGCACATGTTACTGTGAAGGCTTTCTTCAGCTATGAATATTGAGGTGAAGTCAAGAAACATTTATCAAGGACTTACTAAGAACTTCCAAGTCTTGTGGGAGAGAGAAAAGAATTTGAAGACCTTTCCCTTCAAGGAGTCTGTAATCTCTCTGAGCAGAGAAAAACTGCATGTAAAATATTCATGGATGCTATATGTTATAGGAACTTAGAGAAGTGAGAGATCTTTTCAGATTGGAATAATCAGGATACGTTTCATGAAAGATGAAAATATAGTCTGCATAGATGTATATAATATGTTATATAACATTACTTTTATTCTAAATAAAAATGCTTTTCAGACTACATAAAAAATGAACTTGTTAGTTATTTTAAATTCAGCTAATTTAAAATCCATTAAGTAATAATAAAAATAATTTGAATTCTCAGTCCCTTCTATATAATACCCCCTTTCTTAGTGTAAAAGGAAGATACTTTTATTCTTAACAAAGATATATTGCTATTCTAAACAATCTAAAACAACACAGTGTCTAGCCTATATAAGCCTCAGAAAAGGGTGTTCTTTGTCCCAGAGTGGAATGGTTCCACATAAAACTACCAGACAGCCCAGCCTATAGATTACTAGAGTAACCAGAACAAAACAAAAATTGTCTATATGCATAATAGACAAACCTGTAGGCTAGAGAGATTTTAATTCTAAAGAACTAGGAACTATTAACTATGTGCACCTTTTAAATCAATTGGAAAAAGAATTTGTCTTTATTAAATATTCTTAAACTATAAAAATATATATGTATATGTATATGTATATGTATGTACATGTTTATGTTTTTCTTGGAAGGGGTGTTTGTACTCAGGCCCCATGTTATTGTATCATCATGGAATACTGTGCCCATGGACAACTTTATGAAGTCTTGAGAGCTGGCAGGAAGATCACACCTCGATTACTAGTAGACTGGTCCACAGGAATTGCAAGTGGAATGAATTATTTACACCTCCATAAAATTATTCATCGTGATCTCAAATCACCTAAGTGAGTTTTGGAGCTTATTTTTCACGTATTTTGCTTTGTTGTTTTGAAATAAGGAATTTTTATCAACTATAATTGAAGTTTTCAGACATCATACTTTGAGTTCAGATTAAAGTCAGCACAGCGGGTAATTCTATTTGCCTATCTTTTGGAATATTTGTTGAGCTGCTTACTTACCTTATATGTGGCAGATATGTTCAGGTATCTGACACCATTTTCCCCTTTTTATTGTCGCTTTTAAATCGTATAATTGTACAAAATTCATTATTATCTGAACTATTCAACTTCTATCATCTCTGATAATTAATACCAACCTTCTCTACCACAAAGCTTGGTTTGTTGTATTCCTACTGGTTTGTTGATTGCAGTACCAGGGACTGAACTCAGGGGTGTTCTATGAATTATTTACACCTCCATAAAATTATTCATCGTGGTCTCAAATTATTCATCGTGATTTTATAGTCTTAGTGTATACAATAGAGTAAAAATGGGTGATAAGAAACAGAGGCAAAAAAAATAACATAAAAACATTAGTACCAAAACTTGTTCACAAAATATATGCCATAAACTTATAGGTGTGTTAATGGCACACATCTATAAATTCAGCTACTCTGGAGGCTGAGGCAAGAGATTGCAAGTTTGAGGCCAGCCTGAGCAACTTAGCATGATCTCATCTCAAAATAAAAGATGGCTTGGGAAGTAGCTCAGTGCTAAAGCACCTACTACTAAAAAAAGAAAGAAAAAAGTATCTTATAAGATTCTGTACAGGTGTTTTTGAGAACTATAAATTTGGCATTGAGCTTCTGAGAGTCTAAACAAAGGAGAAAATAAACAGGTACAAGTTATAAAGTGGCCATAACAAACATAGTTATTTAAGAGAAGCAGAGCTATTTCTGTTAATCTCTGATTTCCAAATGATTCCTTGGTAGCCAATAATCACTTAAGTGTGTATTCAACTCCCCAAATTTCATGAAGGAAAGAAATGAATTGGTAAAATGGCATATGTCTATGTAGCTCTATTTTTTAAACATTATTTTTTATTATTTCTCATCACATTTTGGTTTACAGAAGCAGAAAAACTGTTTTTTCAAAAACATTTGCATAGTGCTTTATTGGTTTAGAACATGTTTTATAGCCATTATCACMTCTTTGATTGTATCAAAAACTGTGGATGTTAGAAGTGATAATATCATTATTATTTTTGTTTATGTAAGAGAAAGTGGGCCTCAGCCCAAAGGGACTAGGACTTGAACCTAGAACTTTAGAGCCAGACTACAGCATCCTACCTCATTATGTGAAGATAAGGGATTCATAATGAATCCTGCCTCTTCTCCTCTAGGGAAGATAAAATCAGTCCTTGGTTAAAAAGTTAATGAAACTCTTATTTATCATCATCATTCTCAACAATGTTTATTACAATGGTTAGCTCATTGAACAAACTCCTTCCTGTACTTGCAAATAAACATTACTATATAGCATTCATACCTTCTGTTTCTATTCTTAACACAATTTGTTGCCTTTCTCGTCCCCTGCATACACATAAAATATGCAAAATACTTACTAAAGGCATCTTCAAATGGTCTCTTGAAACCAACATGTTCTCCTTGAGAATTAAAGGTTAGAATAGTAAGTAGGTCATCCAGTGTTAACAATGCCACCATTAACCCTAGAGGCTGAGGAGTTTTGGGGTTTCAATCAAACTTCAAGAAGACAAAGATCAGGGCTGGGGTTGTGGCTCAGTGGTAGAGTGCTCACCTAGTATGCATGAGGCACTGGGTTTGATACTCAGCACCACATACATATAAAATAAAGATATCAACCTAAAACTAAATATATATGTATATGTATGCATATGTATATGATATACATATATATATGAAGACAAAGATCAACCTAACATGTTGTAAGGAAAACTTTCACTACCAACATTAAATCTGCAGTCTGTGTGTCCCCAACATTGTCTCAGAAGATTTCAGAAAAGTTTCAGTGTTATATCATCTCCAATCTCCTCCCTTTTCTCATACCAACTGAGGCAGAAGAGGAAGTTCCTACAGTTTTTCTGTTCCTGGAGGCCTATCATGTTTTTTTAATTTCATGGCATATGACACTATCAATGCTCCAATTATGTCAGATAGCTCATAATATTTTAATCCACATGAATTTACACTAAGACTATAAAATCAAAGCTCCTAAATTATGTAAATCATATCCCATGCAAAACCAGGGGACGGATGTGGATGGAGGTATTCCAGAGCAACTGTAAGCACAAAGCTGTTGAGTAAGTAGCAAGTCATTTGGCATTGGGGGTGGAGGTGAGCAAGTGTGAAGTCCTTGGTTCAAAYGACAAGGGCAGGAACAAATTCAGAAGTTTTCTGTTTTCTATTTTCCTTGAGTCTGATGCTATTTGAGTATTAAGCTTCTTATCTTTAAAAATAGGTACCTAGGGCTGGGGCTGTAGCCTAGTGGCAAAGGACTTGCCTGGCACATATGAGGCACTGGGTTTGATCCTTAGCACCACATAAAAATAAACAAATAAAATAAAGGCATGCTGTCCATCTACAACTATGAAAAAAATTTAATAGGTCCCTATATCATTAAGGCTCTGGCACCCTAACTCATTAACATTCGGAAGTTGTGAACAGGTTTTTTGGAGTGAACTCAGCCTAGTGTATGAGGCTACCCATACTTTGGATTTATATTCACCTTTAAGGCAAGCAAAAGCATCTGCTCCATGACACATTTCAGAAAAGTCCTATGAAAAGTAAAACATGACTTCTGTGGAAGCTACTTAAGCTTAGATTTATTCCTGTTTTTTTCTTTTCAGCAATAGTGAAGTGCAGCATTCATATGTGTCTTTTAATGGATCTAGTGACATGGTCCACTGCATGACATAACTGGCCATTATTTAAATAATGTTTTTAAATGAGGTGTTTTCCTTAGTGGATTGGCCAAGACTGGCAAGGGAGTAAACCAAAACTATTGAGCACTGGTGTTTTATGTATCTAAGCTCATTTAATTCAAGTGAAAATTATATGAGACCATTATTACCGGCACATAATATCTTATCCATGACTTGTGCAGCCAGATTATTTCAAAAAGGTAATATAGTGCTAACCTCAGACCTCCAAGGAAGTCTAGAGGAACTCCCTCTAATCAGCCACATTGACATACCTGTGGCAAAATCTATGAAATTCACACAAAATGAGATATAATGATTTTGCCTTATACATATAAAAAGTATTTTTGAGACCTTTTACATTTCTGAATTGTGAATAAGATATTGTGACCTGAATTGTCTCCATTTTATAGATTAGAAAACTGGTTTAGAAGAGTTAAGTAACTTGGCAAAGTTACACAGTTTGCAAATGGTGGAGGCAGGATAAAACTAGGCATTATGAGGATAACAGAATGAATTGGACACTAATACCCTATGTACATATATGACTACCCAGCCAGTGTGATTCTACATCATTACAACCAGAAGAATGAGAAGTTATACTCTGTTTATGTAGTATGCACTCTACTGTCATGTATAACTAATTAGAACAAATAAACAATTGCATTTGAACTGTTTTTTTAAATAGGCATTAAAAGCCTATTCTGATAAGCTGCTTCATTTTGCTACTTCCAGTGCATAGCTAATGCCTTGGTCACATTGGAAACTTCAAGTTGAACTCCACAGGAAGCAGCAAACAAAATCTTTAATTGCCATTTAGAGTCATGGTTTTCATTACTACTAATGATCTGGATGTTTTCTTTATTTCTTTTTAAAGTGTTTTAGTGACTCACACAGATGCAGTAAAAATTTCAGATTTTGGTACATCTAAGGAACTCAGTGATAAAAGTACCAAGATGTCTTTTGCTGGCACGGTTGCATGGATGGCACCAGAAGTAATACGGAATGAACCTGTCTCTGAAAAAGTCGATATATGGTGAGTGATGCCATCTGTGCCAAATAGATTCACCCTATTAACCCTTTCTTCCTGCAACAGTTTTACTACCYAGAATATTCATTACTGTTGTTCACTTCTGGTTGATTTTGGTCTTATTTACCTAAGGTAGTACCCAGTATGATGCTATATGGTAGGAAGGATCAGAAGAGGAATTAGGGTAAATATCCAGTTAGTAAATCATCAGTTCCCTAAGAAAATATGCTGACCTTTCTGGAAAACTAAAAGTCTATTTCAAATGACCATTTAGTATAGTCTTCCTGAAATGTACTGCATAATTCTCACCCTTTTGAGTAAAATACATTAAACAAAACTTACGTTTGCTAAGCCAGGCATAGAGGCATATAAGACCCTGTCTCAAAACAGAAAAAAGAATTGGAGATGTCGTAGTGGAGCACCCCTGGATTTAATTCCCAGTACCTGAAGAAAGAAAAGAAAAACCTATTTTTGATGATTCACATCATCATTACACATATTTGTAATATACTTTGTTATGATACAGTTTTGTGCTCTAGACCTATTTGAAATGTATAAGTCTATTTGCCTTTTTATTGAATAACTCCTATGAACTATGCTTTTATTTATTTATTTTTTAATTTATTTTTTAGTTGTAGTTGGACACAATACCTTTATTTTATTTATTTTTATGTGGTGCTGAGGATCAAACCCAGGGCCTCGCACCTGCTAGGTGAGCAATCTACCACTGAGCCACAACCCCAGTTATATGCTTTTATTTTTTATCTTTATCAACATTTCCTCTGAGGTCATAAGCCTTAGTTTTAGCAATATTTTCCCTGTAATCGCTTTTTCCCCCCACCCTTAAAATTGGCTACTGGAAACTTTTAGGCTTTAAGAAAATAATAGCATAAGTTAAAATTGCATATAGCATCTGTGTAAGTGGGATAAGATAGAGTATTCATAGTTTTGATAGTTAACAAAGTGTCCTCCTTAAAGATTATACCAATTCGTGTTCTAATCAGAAATGTATAAGAGTGTTTTCTCAACAAATATATGCTGCACTTTGTATTTTTAACTATTATGTTGATCAAAAATGGCATATTGGAAGCAGTTTTCATTTGCATCCCCGCTATTATGAGTAAGGTTATACATTTTTGTATGCTTAAGAGTCATTCATCATTTCTTATTTGTGAACTATTCACATCCTTTTTTTTCAGATTTCTGACCTTTTTTCTTATCAATTTATGAGGTGTTGTTTTTTGGTTTTTTTTGTTTGTTTGTTTGTTTGTTTTTGTTTGTTTTTTTTTTTTTTTGTCCTGGGGATTGAACTCAGAGGCACTCAGCCACATCTCCAGCCCTATTTTTTGTATTTTATTTAGAGACGGGTCTCACTGAGTTGCTTAGAGCCTCACTTTTGCTGAAGCTGTCTTTGAACTCGCAATCCTCCTGCCTCAGTCTCCCAAGGCGCTGGGACAATTTATGAGCATTTTATATGTCAAGGAAATTTGCCTTTTGTATAGATGAATTGCAGATACTTTTTACATTTTGTTATTTTGCTTATAGCATTTTTTCTCAGGCCAAAATAGTTTTAATATAGCTCAATTTATCAACCTCTCCTTTTTTCTTCTAGGTTTCCTAGTTTAAAAAGCCTTAATCACTCTTAAGATTATAAAAAAAATTCCCAATGTTTTCTTTTATTTTCCTTTTTTTTGCATTTAATTCTTTGATTCATTTAGAATTTTTTTTTTGGTGTGTGTGTGTGTGTGTGTGTGTTTGTGTGTATACAGGGGATTGAACCCAGAGGCGGTTAACCACTGAGCCACATTCCCAGCCCTTTTTTGTATTTTATTTAGAGACAGGGTCTCTCTGAGTTGCTTAGGCTGGCTTTAAACTAGTGATCCTCCTGCCTCAGCCTCCTGAGCTGCTGGGATTACAGGCATACACCACTATATGGTGAGGGATAGATTTAATTTTTTCCCCAGTTTTCCCAATATCAATTATTAACTAATCAAATTTTCCCGCTAGTTTGTGATGCCACTTGTACTGTATGTTCAGTTCTTGAAAGTATTTATTAATTTCTAGATTTTAATTCCAGTCCATTAGTCTGTTTGTCTATTCGTGTATACCAGAGTTAATTATTGAGACTTTATAATGTCTTAATATCTGGAAGTGTTGGTTACCCTTCATTGATTTTTTTCAAAAGTTTCATGAATTTTTCTGTTTTTTAATAACAGTATATTCTAATTTTAAAACTGGATATATATATATGTTAATTTGACCAAAAATTAATTAAAAATTAAAATATAAATCAGTCTTTCTGAAATGTCTTCTATACATGTTCCTGGTACTACTGTAGGTCTTTTGGAGTGGTGCTTTGGGAGCTGCTGACAGGAGAGATCCCCTACAAAGATGTAGATTCATCAGCCATTATTTGGGGTGTTGGAAGCAATAGCCTACACCTTCCAGTTCCTTCTACTTGCCCTGATGGATTCAAAATCCTTATGAAACAGACATGGTAAGAAATGCATTTCTCTTCCAACATTCTCTTTTACTTTTTTCTGCAAAGGCATAATACAACTTCTCTAAAACAAGTAGGTAAGTCTCTAATGTGTGTTTGCAGTCAACCATCTGGTGGTGGAAAGATTAGAGCCTTAGAGTCTGAAACCCTTGATTTCAAATGCTGGCCCTGCCCTTTTCTGTCTTTTTTCTTTGGGGCGTGTCATCCAACTATCTGTCTTCACGTAGAGAGAGCGCTTTCTCATGGAGTTGTGTTGTGATTAATTAAAATTTATAAGTGAAGAAATTGGTATGATATCTTGAAATAGTAGGACTTAGTTAATGATAGCTATTATTATTTTACCAGGCCTAGTGGACTATTATCAAATAGCTCACTGCTCCTAGATTTCCATTTCATCAATAGAGGTATCTCTAAATTGTAGTTTTTGTTTGCCTTCAGTACATCAAAACTATTTGTGATATAGCTATTTTGGAGTTAAAATAGTGTATTTCATAAAGTAGAATAAAATTTTTATCTTCCTGGACACAAATTCTGAAATGCACAAGCTGTCTTTTTTACTTTTAGGCAAAGTAAACCTCGCAACAGACCTTCTTTTCGGCAGACACTCATGCATTTAGATATTGCATCTGCAGATGTACTTGCCACCCCACAGGAAACTTACTTCAAGTCTCAGGTAAGCTCAGAAACCTTCTAACAGATGCTACTGACCAGACAGGGAACTCTTTAGGAGAAAGGGTAACTCTTAGAAGGAGGCCATTTTCATTCTTATAACAATGAAATAAGCCTATTCATTGTTAAATAATAATGATACTTCACACATATGGCATTTGGGAGTTTGTTAAGCACTTGATGTACATTATCTCATTTGAAAAGAACATGTATTTGAATGTTGTCCTTATAGTGGGTTCTGGTAAAATTATTGAAGAAAAAAGAAGAAAAGAGGATGCTAAACCTATAATATACCTCCATTTGAATTGGAATTTATGGCTGATCTTCATGAAAGCATTGCTTTCCTTGAAGCAGAAAAGCTGAAATACAGAGGAAAGAGATTGAATACCAGAAAGATCCGATGAGGCAATTAAGCCCAGAGAAAACCTTTTCTCTAATTCTGTGTGTTACCTAGTAATAGCTCCAAATAAAATATAATTTAATGTATCTGTTTGCCTTCACTGTACTAAAACCTTCCCAAAACTCATGGTTTAAAACAGTAAGCCTTTATTTAGATTTCCTGTGGGATGGTGATTTGTGCTATGCGATTCTTCTGCTGCCTCTGACTCGGTACGCTCACATGTCTGCAGTCAGTTACCAGGTCAGCCAGGAGACTGGCTGGCTCTAGACAGACTTATTCACAAGTCTGGGGATACTCTGGCTGTTAACGTGGAGTACCTCCATTCTCCTCTGTGTGGACTCTAATCCATTAGCAGGCTAGTATGGGCTTGTTTTTGCAGTTTCTAAGGAATAATAAATCAGAGACTTATCCTATTAGTCAAAGTTCTAACACATTCTCTATGATCCTTGAACCTAACTTTCCCCATAGCTGTGTCTGTAAATAGACTTGCCCCTATATTTTTTAGTGTTTCTGAGAAATTATTATGTAAGTAAAGTGTTTGTTTACACAGAAAATAAGATGATTAAGAGGTTGACTTCATGACAGTTCATGTATTCTTTGATATGTAGTCAGAGAAATTCCCTGAGAACTATTAAAACCCATCCATTCAAATACATGTAGGTATGAGGCACTGGATAAGAAATCTTTCAAATGTCTTCTGCTAGTATTCAGAAAAGACAGTCCTTTTGTGAAATGAAAGAGAATGATAGTGAATACTCCAGGAAATCATTCAAACCTTAGCATATGGTTGTAATCAGAGCTTTGCTTCTTTTACAATAAAATTACATATCCCAATTATAAAAATACTTTAAAGTACTCTTAACTGACAAGCCATTGAGACAGTCAGTTCTATTGTATATATTTGGAAAATTTCAAATTCTAAACAGATTTTTACTGAAGTTCTCTGTAAAATAAATTTTACTGGAGTTCTCCCACTCTGAAGCTAGTTCAACTTGAGCAACTAAATATCAAGAGTCAGTATCCTTAAAGGGCCAACCTGTTTTATTATTGAGATACCCAAAGCATGGAGTATCTACACTGAGCTCAGGAAAGTTTCTTTGGGGAGAAAATGTAGTACATTGGGCATCTGCCTTAGTTTGGGCTGCTACAACAAAATACCATAGATTGTATGGTTTATAAACAACAGAAATTTTTTCCCCATAGTTCTGAGGCTGGGAAGTCCAAGATCAAGTTCAAAACACCAGCAGATTTGGGGTCTGGTAAGGGCCCAAGTTCTGGTTCTTTGATGATGCCCTCTCACTGTGTCCTCACATGGCAAAGGGTCAACAAACTCCCTTGTGCCTGCTTTCTGAGGATACTTATTCCATTAAAAATAGGTAAGTTCTCATGACCTAAGCACCTCCCCAAAGGACTCTACCTTCTAATACCTTTACTTTGGGAGTTAAGATTTCAACATATGAATTTGGAGTGGGGAACGTACAAACATTCAGACCATAACATCCCTTTTTTGTTGTTATCACTTTGTTTGTTAATTTGTTTTGTTTGGTACTAGGGATTGAACTCAAGGCCACTCAACCACTGAGCCACATCCCCAGCCCTATTTTTTTGTATTTTATTTAGAGACAGGGTCTCACTGAGTTGCTTAGTGCCTTGCCATTGCTGAGGCTGGATTTGAACCCTCCAATCCTCCTGTCTCAGCCACCCAAGCTGATGTGATCACAGGCATGCACCACCTTTTCTGGCCATAACAGCACTTTTAATATTTATTAATCCATTCACATTTTTTCTTCCAACGTAAAATTTCACTTCTCCCTCAACACCAAATCTGCTATTCTTGCTAGTTTAAAGATTTTTTTCAGGTATTTATAAGCTGATCTGACTCTAGGTCTGAAACTGAGACTATCTCTGACTAATGTTAGTAAAATATTTATGAACTGTCTAGTGAGTTACTAGGAAAAGCAATGAACATTGAATATAAACCCCTGTCCTATCACTATAAACTACGTGACCTTGAATAAGTCACTAAGTTTTCTAACCCTCAGCTTACCCATCCAAACAAGAAAGATAATTGTATCTTCTTTTAGGGAGTTTCTGTGACAATCAAATGAAAAGATTAAAATGCAGATGTAGCATGAACTATTAAGAACTGTGTGATTATAAAATGTTATTCACCTCGCACAAAGCTATACAAATAAAGCGTCCTTTGAGTTGTTACCTTCTGGGTGCTTTTTCAGATGAACTCCTGAGATGAATAAGATGGTAGCTAAAAAAAACTCCTAGTAATTGTGTTTTGACTTCATCCTGCCCCAATAGGGAAGATCTGATTGTTTCACATACACAGAATTTTGCTCTTGMCAGAGCAGTATTATACCTGAGGCCTTGCCTCCTCTCGCCTGCTGACAAGATGTTCTCAGTGTCATTTTCAATCAGTAGCTGTTAGCTCCTGGTCTCCACCTTCCACCAAACTGGTTGGTCAGGAGTGCTGCCAAGTGTCCAGCTGACCCCTTCCTGAGAAAAAGGGCTTCAGCAGCAGCACGTGTGTAAAGATGCATATAGAACAGATGACAAAGCAATGGATTTCAGCACAATATTAGATTCTGCCAAGGCTGTTACTCACTCCCAGACAATCAGCCATTCTTCAAAGAGGCAATTATTGCTCCTGGTATTCAGCTGTATTTCATATTGGCCTTTAGAAAACAGCTGCTAGTTGGGTCCTATGCTCAGTTTCTAAATTCTCGCACCATCCTCTGCTTTTGCACCATTCTTGCTTCCTCTTGAAAGCCACTATTGTTAGTTTTTCATTGCTGTGACCAAAATACCTGACTAAAACAACTTAATCCATGATTAGCCAACTCCATAGCTCTGGGCCTGAGGCAAGGCAGAAGAGCATGGAAGAAGGATGTGGCAGAGGACAACTGCTCAGCTCCTGGCAGCCAGGAAGCAGAGAGAGGATTGCCAGAGAGAAGACAAACCCTTCTTGGGCACACCCTCAGTGACCTTCCTCCAATGAGGTTCCACCTCCCAGTAGTCCTTTCAGCCAGAAGGGGAGAGTCCCGTGATCTAATCACTAACCACAAGCTCCACCTCTGAACACAGGAGACTTTGGGGACATTCCAGATCCCATACCACACTGTAACCACCCAGAGAGTGGTTAAAGAGATAACTGCACTTGTCCTGGGGCTAGCCTGTGCTGCCTTACAAGTATGCTTCTCACGAGTGATTAGGTGCCAAGGCTAGGTCCTCACACTGGGAAGGCAGTAAAGAGGAACCGAGTGCCAGTTAAGAACTGGATCGGATGCTCTCTAAGGTTTTTCTGATTCAGAATCTATGATTCCTACTCCTAAGCCCCCAGCCTCTTGCTTCTCTATTCCTTGAACTAACCTGGAACTGGCTCGACATTTTTTTCCTTTATAAAAATTATGTAAAATAAATATAGTATAAAGTTTACCATTTTACTAGGTTAAGTGTCTAATTCAATGGCTTTCATCATTACATTCACACTGTTGTGAGTGGTCACTACTATTTCCAAAAATTTTCATCAACCCATTAAGCAATAACCCCCTTTCCCTCCTCTGATCTCTGATAATCTCTATTCTATTTTCAGTCTCTATGAATTTGCCTATTCTAGATATTTCACTTAACTGGAATCATAAAACGTTTGTCCTTAGTGTAGGTCTTGTTTCACTTACTTAGCATGTTTTCAAGGCTCATATATATTGTAACATTTGTCAGAACYTCATTATTTTTTGTAGTTGAATAGTAGTATTCTATTGTATAATACCACATTCTATCCATTCATCTGTTGATTCAACTTCATTTTGATATCTATATTATGGGAGATAAATAGAAACAATTTTTTTGGTACAAAAACTTCAAACATCTACTGAGTAACTTTAGAAACCTTCTAAATGTCACAGATTTCCCTAGGCCTTCTCTGGGAGGTAAAGGGGATATCATTAATGGAGTGATCCAGGTTTCACTTGATTGATCCCTTACTTCCTTACACAGGACTTGTGAAGCACCCTCCTCCTTCCACACCTACACACTACACTATGCATTCTCAGGGAATTCCCAGGGAGGAGGAGAGATCTCAAATAGTCTCATATTGTCATCTGCTGTCCTTTCTCCTGACTCTGACTAAACACAGCCCTCTCCCTCCTGGCACAGCTGGGCATTTCCATATTGGTGAGCCCTCACTGTTTTCTGCTATAAGATTGTATTCCTAGTTGCCATCCATTAGATGCTGCCATATCCTTAAGAGACTGCCCTCCCCCTCTGGGAGCTGCTCTCTGCTGCAGCAGAGCTCTAGAGTTCCCAGGATTCCAAAGCTGCATGTTGTTCTGTTTGTGTGATGAGCTCTTCCTTTCCCTGTTGATTTACACTGTGTGAAAGGTGGCCATGGCCTGATGTTTTACAAGAATGTTAGTGAAACAATGGGAAATGTCCCATCCACTCCTGTGACAGTGGCTCTGTTATAGGCCAAGCTCCTGCACACTCTTCCCTCTCTCAGTAGCTCCTCATCTCTGTGCAAAATGGGTTCTGGCCTGCCCACCCTCCATTTCTTCAGATAAGCCAGGTAGTTCTTAATGGCAGATTAAGTCAAATCAGAACTCCTATTAACATATTCTAAGTAYATGTGATGAAACTCCAAATTATCTTCTTCTAGGAATATGATACCTTTGAGGAAAACACACTTTTGGTCAGTTTCTGTTGTTTTCCCATGCATCTTGTTTCCTTTTCCCAGGAAGGAATTTACTTGTAGAAACCTAGTTTCTTACAGATTTAAACTTTCAGAAGGTTATCTTTAAGTTTCCTATAATGATAAGCAAGCTTTCTGGAGGTTTACTGCCTCTAGAATTAAAACCTGACCTGTAATATCTGATTCCTTACCACCAGAGGGAGATAGTCCTTTTCTTGGTACCTTCTTTAAGTATTGCCCTGGAATCCATTAGCATGTTTTTGCACAAAAGATGTTTTCAGGCCTAAATCTGACCCTCTCCTTTGTCCTTCTTTGTTCTAAAATCTCTTGTTTATCATTCTTTAACCTCTTAAAGTTGAAATACAGTTCCATGGCTTTGATCTGATGATTCAGAGAGAAGCATTACTGGGGGCTTAACTGAACCTTCATATACTGTTGAAATGCTGTCAAAGACTCTTGCCCAACAATGGGATAGTATATTTTTTATCCTGGCATTTTGAAGACATTGAGCAGATTTGGTGCCTGCTCAGTGAAAGTCAACAAGCTGGCARAAACCCCTCTCAAATAGTCAACATATAGAAAGAATCTAGTATATTATAAATAAGCAAGCAGGATGATCATTTTCTAAATGATTATATTATTTTCTACATAAAAAATGATGAAAAACAGATAATTTGGGGAAATTATATAATGTCTCCTTGTTTTCTCCCTCAGTTCCCAATTTCTATATAATTTCCCATATGTTTATTCCCATCTTCTGCTGTGTATGCCCTGGGATCTTCTACTTCATATATTTTTTCAAGATATTTTCCTAAACAAAGCACAGAAGAAATTCTGGTGCCAGTTTTAAGGATGATCATTTTCTCACAGACACATACATGTACCCAAGTGGTTATCAGAGCTGTTCTTTCTGGCCATATTCTTGGCTACTGTATTGACTTAAATTGAGTCCTTTCGTTCCAGAGGTGATGGCCAGTGGTGACCATCACCACTTTGACAGATGATTCAGAGAGAAGCATTACTGGGGGCTTAACTGAACCTTCATATACTGCAGGGAAAGTGGAGTACTAGAGTAGATATACAGAACATGGGGAGGGGCATGCAGATACAATAGCATGAGACATTTTGCTATCAATCAACTAATATTTCTTGAACACCCATTTTGAATTAGGCATGTGCAGGAAGCACATAGAAAAAAGCAAGAAAGGCGTGTAGAAGCATTCAGACAAAATACCTTGTGCCTCATCCTATGATTATACCAGAGGTTAAAACACCTTGAGTACTAACAAAATCACGTTTTTCTCACCCAGGCTGAATGGAGAGAAGAAGTTAAAAAACACTTTGAGAAGATCAAAAGTGAAGGAACTTGTATACATCGATTAGATGAAGAACTGATTCGGAGGCGCAGAGAAGAACTCAGGTCAGCTCATCTCTCTTCCTCTACCTCTTCCTACCCCAGATCTTCAGATATGAGGAATTCTTCTTATGAATCACCATTTCATTTTCTACACACCTTTTACCTCTGCTTGTTATTGATATGCTCCTTGAAAGTTACCCTAATGGTTAGTTCTCCTATGGAATCTAACGAATCAATCTTCTAGAAGTTAAGTATAGAAATTATGGTTACCAGAGTCTGAGGAGACTGAGGGGGGAGGACAGATGATAAAAAGTTCTTCAAGGGATACTAAGTTATAATTAGATAAGAGAAAGAAGAAGTTGCACAGTAGGGTGACTACAACAAGAATGTACTGTATATATATTTTTGAATTTTAAAAAAAGCTAGAATAAAAGATTTGGAATATTATTACCATAAAGAAATTATAATTGCCAAGCATAGTGGTGCATGCCTRTAATCCCAGGAGGTTGAAGCAGGAGGATTTTACATTTGAGGCCAGCCTTGGCAACAAGAATAGACCCTATATCAAACATCAGACAGAAAGGACTGGGGATATACAGTGGTAGAGCACTTGACTAGCATGCATGAGAACCTGGTACATTCCCAGTACCCCTCATACACACACAGGAAAGAAATGGTAATTGTTTCAGGAGACACATGTTTACCCTGATTTGAACATTATACAATGTACACATGTATCAGGACATCATGAAATACCTGTAAATATGTACAATTTTTTATCAGTTAAATTTTTTTAGAATGTGTCATAGGCAGTTTTGAAATCCTAAGTGTTTTTTAACTTTTTTTGTATTTGTTCTTTTTAATTATACATGACAGCAAAATGTATTTTGATATAGCATACTTCCATTCTTGTGGTTGTGCATGATGTGAAGTTACACTGGTCATATATTCATATATAAACATAGGAAAGTTATGTCCAATTCATTCTACTGTCTTTCCCATTCCTATCCCCACGCTCTTCCCCCTACTCTTCCCTTTCCAATCCATGAACCCCTATTCCTCCCTCCTGACCTCCTATTGTGAGTCGGCATCATCAAAGAGAACGTTTGGCCTTTGGTTTTTTGGATTGGCTTATTTTACTTAGCATGATAGTCTCTAGTTCCATGCATTTACCAGCAAATGCCATAATTTCATTCTTCTTTATGGCTGAGTAATATTCAGTTGTGTATATGTACTGTTTTCTTTATCCATTCATCTGTTAAAGGGTACCTACGTTGGTTCCATAGCTTAGCAATTGTTAATTGAGCTGCCATGAACATTGATGTGGCTGTGTCACTATAGTATGTTGATTTTAAGTCCCTTGGATACATGCCAAGGAGTGGGATAACTGAGTCAAATGGTTGTTCCATTATTCCAAGTTTTCTGAGGAATCTCCATGCTTCTTTCCACAATGGTTGCATCAATTTGCAATCCTACCAGCAATGTGTGAATGTGCTTTTTTCCTCCACATCCTTGCTAACATTTATTGTTACTTGTATTCTTGATAATGGCTATTCTGACTGGAGTAAGGTGATATCTCAGTGTAATTTTAATTTGCATTTCTCTAATTTCTAGTGATGTTGAACATTTTTTCATATATTTGTTGACCATTTGTATTTCTTCTTCTGTGAAGTGTCTGCTCAGTCCCTATGCCCATTTTTTGATTAGATAATTTGTGGGGGGGGTTGTTGTTGGTGGTGGTTTTGTGGGGTTTTTTTGTTTTTTTGTTTTTTGTTTTGTTTGTTTTTTTGTTTTTTGCTTTTTTGTGTTTTGTGGGGGTTTTTTTGTTTGTTTGTTTGTGGGTTTTTTTGATGTTAAGTTGTTTGAGTTCTTTATTATATCCTGGAGATTAATGTTTTATATGAGACGCAGGTGACAAACATTTTCTCCAATTCCATAGGCTCTCTCTTCATGTTCTTGATTGTTTCCTTTGATGTGAAGAAGCTTTTTAGTTTGATACAACCCCATTTATTGATTCTTGATTTTACTTCTTGTGCTTTAGAAGTCTCGTTGACTTCTAAGTTGGTTCCTAAGCCAACATGATGGAGATTTGGTCCTACCTTTTCTTCCAATAGGCACAGGGTCTCTGGTCTAATACTTAATCCACTTTGAGTTGAGTTTTGTGCAGGGTGAGAGATGGGGATCTAATTTCATTTAATTACATATGGATTTTTGATTTCCCAGTACCATTTATTGAAGAGGCTATCTTTTCTCCAATGTATGTTTATGGTACCTTTATCCAGTTTGAAATAACTATTTATGTAGTTTTGCCTCTGTGTCTTCTATTCTATTTGGTCTTCAAGTCTCTTTTGGTGTCAGTACCATATTGTTTATGTTACTATAGCTCTGTAGTATAATTCAAGGTCTGGTATCATAATGCTTCCTGCTTCACTTTTCTTTCCAAGGATTGCTTTGGCTATTCTGGGCCTCTTGTTTTTCAAATGAATTTCATGACTGCTTTTTCTATCTCTGTGAAGAACATCATTGAAATCTTAATAGGAATCTCATTAAATCTGCTTTTGGTAGTATAGCTGTTTGACAATATTAATTCTGCCTATGCAAGAATATAGAAGATATTTCTAAGGTTTTGTTCAAGTTCTTTCTATGATGTTCTGTAATTTTCACTATAAAGGTCTTTCACCTCTTTGTTAGATTGATTTTCAAATATTTTTTGAGGCTATTGTGAATGGGATAGTTGTCCTAATTTCTCTTTCAGTTGATTCATCACTGATGTATGAGAATGCAATTAATTTGTGGGTGTTAATTTTATATCCTGCTACTTTGCTGAATTCACTTATTAGTTCTATAAGTTTTCTGGTGGAGTTTTTGGGTCTTCTAAATATAGAATCATGTCGTCAGCAAATAAGGATAGTTTGAGTTCTTCTTTTCTTATTTGGATCCCTTAAATTTCTTTCTTTTGTCTAATTGCTCTGGCTAGAGTTTCCAGGACTATATTGAGTAGAAGTGGTGAAAGAGGGCATCCTGGTTTTGTTCCAGTTTTTAGAGGGAATGCTTTCAATTTTTCTCCTTAGAATTATGTTGGTCTTGGGTTTAGCATATATAGTGTTTACAATGTTGAGATATATTTCTACTATCCCTAGTTTTTCTAGTGTTTTGTACAGAAATGGATGCTGTATTTTATCAAATACTTTTTCTGCATCTTTCGAGATAATCATATGATTCTTGCCTTTAAGTCTATTGATGTAATGAATTATGTTTGTGGATTTCTGTATGCTGAACCAACCTTGCATCCCAGGGATGAATCCCACTAGATCATGGTGTACTACCTTTTTAATATGTTTTTGTATGTGACTTGCCATTATTTTATTAAGAATTTTTGCATCTATGCTCATTAGGGATATTGATCTGAAATTTTTTTTCCCTTGATGTTCTTTGTCTGGTTTTGGTATCCAGATGATACTAGCTTCATAGAATGAGTTTGGAAGGGTTTCCTCCATTTCTATTTCATGAAATAATTTGAAGATTGTTGTTCATTCTTCTTCTTGTTGTTTCAAAGTATTTTTTTAGTTGTATAGGGACACAATACTTTTATTTTATTTATTTACTGTTATGTGGTGCTAAGGATCGAACCCAGTGCCTCATATGTGCTAGGCAAGTGCTCTACCACTGAGCTACAAACCCAGGCCCCTCCTGGTTTTCTTTCCATCTGGATGGACCCTTAAGGATAAACCAAGTAGAAAGCTTGGATTTTCCATCTCTCACTCCTTATCTGAATCATTGTATCAAACAAGGGAGCTTTAAAAATAGTGTCTTTGGTTTTTGAAGTAAACTGTCCAGTTTCTTATTTCATTAGAACTGACCTTTGTTCTCCCCAAAGTTAGCCTCACTGATCCTGTGTTTTCTCTGATAGGCATGCTTTGGATATTCGTGAACATTATGAAAGAAAACTTGAGCGTGCTAATAATTTATACATGGAACTGAGTGCCATCATGCTGCAGCTAGAAATGCGGGAGAAGGAGCTCATTAAGTATGTACCCAGACCAAAGAAGGTCCTTATTGATTCGAATCTGTCAATCAACAGAAATTACTATTCTTGCATGTTGCTGCCACTCAGAACTGGAAGATATTTTATTTATTCACCCAACATTCCTTGAGGGAAGTGCTATATCCAGGTCCCTGCCCTGGTCAGGCAAGTAGATAAGTGGAGTCAGTACAGAGCTGGGAATGTGCTCTGGACTGGCTTTTTTTTTATACTTCACCCTCCTGCGTGGTTCAGAGGAGGATGCAAGTTTATTTCAAGAAATTGGTGTGATTATGTGAGAGCTTATTGCCCCCTGGGGAAGTAAAATGGCTGCTAAAAATATTTCAAGGTATCCCTAATGGTGGCAAGAAATCCCTGAGGTCCTGACTAGAGCAGCAGCTACTAAAAATAAGAACTTTGGCTATTGTGTTGTGTTAAGGAAGAGAAAGGCCCAACTAAGTCTGTGAGCTGAAAAGCAGAATGAAGTCAGGTTAATTTGAATTTAGTATCTTCATTTTTATTATTATCACTAGCCTTTTTATTCAAATAGCCTTTACCTGTTAAATGTGGCCAGAATTTAGGGGTAGAATTCACCTGTGAAAACATTCTGCTCATCCTTTCTATCTGCTATGACTACTATGTGGCTTTTTCTTTCATCCTACAGGCGAGAACAAGCAGTAGAAAAGAAGTATCCAGGGACCTACAAACGACACCCTGTCCGTCCAATAATCCACCCCAATGCCATGGAGAAAYTCATGAAAAGAAAGGGAGTGCCTCACAAAGCTGGGGTGCAGACCAAGCGGTGAGACACCACTCCCACTTGATATTCAGAGAAATGGGATGATAATCCCCCAAAACACATTCTCATAGTATGATAGATGAGGCAATTTCTGTAACTCATTGATAGCACATCAGCTTTAGATAAAATAGAGTAGGAAGGTAAAGAAAATGGCTTAGACTCTAGAAATCTAGGTTTTACTATGTGGGACATGGATATTTATTGTCCTGGAACTGAATAGAGGAGAGAAATACAGTGGGGACTAGTCAGACCTGGGTTCAAATCCCAGCCCTGCTTTGTCAGCTCTGTGACTTGAGCCATGCCATTCAGCCTCTTCCAACCCCAGTTCCCTTATGGGTAAAATGGTATAATCACAGTATATGAGATTTATTTTTATTTTTATGACCCCTAGAACACAGAATTGAGTTAATCATAATTCTTTATTTATGACACATGGTTCATACATGGCCTACTTTTATTTATACACTTAGTTCTTTTTAATAATGTAATAACTCACTACCAAAGATAAAAGCAGGAGCTTTGATAATTACCTATATCTAACCATATTATCCCCCTCATTCTAATGCTACATAGGGTTTTTGTGAATTTTAAATAATGTAGAATCACCTTTCAAATCATAGGTGTTCAAAAAATAGTGTTTTGAGGCCTAGAGTTGTAGCTCAGTGGAAGAGTGCTCAGCGGTAGAGCGCTCGCCTAGTACGGGCGGGACCCGGGTTCAATCCTCAGCACCACATGAAAATAAAGGCATTGTGTTGTGTTGTGTCCATCTACACCTAAAAAATAAATATATGTATAAAAAAAAGAAGTACGCATTGGTTTTTAAAAATTATAGATGGACACAATACCTTTATTTTCTATATTTATCTTTATGTGGTGCTGAGGATCAAACTCAGGGCTTCACACATGCTAGGCAAGTGCTCTACCACTGAGCCATAGCCCAGCCCCTCTTAGTTTAATCTTAATCTTAGAGGCTGGAGGTATAGTATAGCGGTATATGCTTAGATGCACGAAACCCTGAGTTCAATCCCCAGCACCAAAAAAAAAAAAAAGGTAATACTTTTTTACTCCTTTTTTATTACCAAACTCTGGAGCCTTATAACTCCAAAATAACAAAGAATTGGCTCTATTCTAGATAAAGATAAATTAATATAACAGAAAGAAGTGTTCCTAAACTTGAGGTGTAGACTCAATAGTGAGATTTGAACTAAATGCAGTTAAGAATAAAGGTAATGAGAAAATACAAACCAGGATTATTTTAAGGCTGTCTGAATGATGGCTGTCCTACCATAGCAGGACTAATGTCAATCTAAACTATTAATGAGTAAAAACAAAAGAAAAAAAAAAAACAAAAATAAACTATTAATGAGTAACAACATGGATGAAGTCCAGTTTTGCTTTTACTTATCGCCCTTACTATCTTCTGGTCAAATTCTAAGAAACTCTTTTCAGGTGGCACCTGGCACAATCCTCAGGGAAATCCCAGGGCCTTTATTTCTTTTCTTGTGCTAATGAGCGACAAGGTCCACCTGCAGATCTTCCTTGGTTCTGCTTACAGTTTTATAACCTAGGAGTGTGTTTGGGCGGGAGTGGGACGTTCTATTTAACTTCTTTGTTTTGTTGTGGTGCTAGGGATTGAACCCAGGGTCTCTCACAAGCAAGGGAGGCAAGTGCTATACAGTAAACTACTTCCCCATCCCTTAACTTTTTAAAAATATGAACCTATGTTTGCTGTTATGTTGACTTGGAAAAGCTTGGTAAGTATATGAGCAGAACACCGGGAAGGCAATTTGCAGAGTGTTGTACTGTCCATTGAGACTGCCCCTTGAATAATTAAAGTTTCATATTTTTTGGAGAGTCCTGCGATTGCTAAATCAGAAGTTCAGTGACCTATGAGGTAATCAGAGGAGAAACCACTCACCATCCTTACATCTAGGTTTCAGTTCATGTTTAGTTAGGGACTAAAGGAGTGCTGATTTCAATTTTAGATCCTCTGAGCCTGTCCCAAGTGAATATAATCCATGAAGATAGTCTAAATATATACTAGTCATAAGCTTGAAATGGGAACTATGCCTTGGAATTAAGCACCTTGGGTTCAAGTTATGTGTTCTGCTCTATGATGAGCACAAGCTAAGTAACCTGTGATCCTCAGTGCCCTTATTTATAAAATGGACATTGAAATAGTAGGAACCAGGCACTTTATATATTGTAAAGTCCTTTGCAAACTGTGTAACAAGGATACTCTGTGATTTTTGCACTGCCAGCTTCAGTAAGAGCAGCCTTCCCCTGACTTTAGATGCTTTCACTTCAACTTTCCTTTAAATATCACCATAGCTAGTTACCCTGTAAGTAGATGCCTCCACCCAGGCTTGGAAGGGCTCCCTTATCTCAGAAAAAGACCCAGAACCTCTTCAGTCCAAACACTTTCTGCAGTACATGTCAGCCAGCTGGACATCAATTTCTAACTCTGGGACAGAAAGCTTTTGATAGACCTCAGGACCCTACTGCCCTTATCATAAACTAGTAATACATGGAACTTCTGTACTAAGATAAGCTTTTGATTGTACTTTTCCTGGAAAAAAAGAAAAAGTCCATCTCCTACTGCTCAATGCCTACTAAGGCCCTATGAGCCCTGGCTGTGCTTAGTGAGGCTGTCAGCACAGCCTGGCTGACAGCCTGGTAGCAGTACAGGTTCTTAGGCCCTACCCAGACTGAACCAAAAAGTTCATTTTAACAAACTCCTCAAGTAATTTGCATGTACCATCAAGTTTGTACTCTGGCTGTCCAAGGACACTAGGACATACTGCTCATCTGGATTCTGTCACTAGCAGGCTGTGAGATCCTGAACCATTTTGGATGACTCTGGGTTCCTCATCATATGTGGCAGAGGCTTCTGCCCACCCCCTTTCAACCAGCCTATTATATCCATTTTATATAGTGATTTCTCATAATAGTTCATTTGAGAGAATTATGTTGTTAAATAAAAATGTTTGGACTCTCCAGTTCTAAAACCTCCTACTGATTTGTGTCTATCTGGTCCCAAAGACAGGTGAGGCTATTTGCTGGGAGGAAGAAGCGATGGGCAGGATTTACCTCAGGCCTCCTTCCTCTTGCGCATCACTGGTCCAGTGGGAACTTGGAAATAGGGTTGAAAGAGAACCTTCATCCTTTAAGATCAAAGTAGAATGACAGTGTCACTTCCCACCAGTCCTTTTCTTGCTGCTGCTGCTCAAAATGAGCTCTCTCCCATTTTCCCCTTCTCGGACCCTTCCTTTTCTTCCTCAAAATTTACTGAGTACTCCTATAAATAAGACTCCTTTCTCATATGAAGATAGACAGAACATAGTCCCAGCTCTTTAAGGGACCACTTCTAGGCTCCATGAACTCAGCCTCGTGTCCAGCGAACCTGAGGTTTCCTTTCTGTGGTACCAGACTTCTTTCCATGTGGTGCCCTGAGGGATCTGCCCAGCTCCATCACTGGACAGATTCCCAGGTGTAAACACCCAGGCCCTTACCTCAGCATATTGGTACCAATATACACACACGATTATGAGGAAGAGATCAAGAGCACTGTAGAGTAAAATTATGATTTTAAGAGAACTGAATACCTACATTAGGAAGACAGAATAAAATCCAGGAGGAACAAAGGAAATCCTCTGTAAATGAACATTTAGGGATTATCCAAGTTTTTGCTATTTTAAACAATACAGTAATATAATAACATACATCTTTGCACATTGTTATATCCAATGGATAAATTCCTGTACATGGGACTGCTGATTCAAAGAGCATATTTTAGAGCTTGGGGTACATTTCCCCAAACTTGAATGTGGTTTTTTTTTAAGTATTTTTTTACTTGTCAATAGACCTTTATGTTACCTTATTTATATGCAGTGCTGAGAATCAAACCCAGAGCCTCCCACAAGCTAGGCAAGTGCTACCACTGAGTCACAACCCCAGCCCTTGAATATGTTTTTGTGTCTAAAACTAAACCTGTTCTTTTCTCCTAGGCCAGATCTGTTGAGATCTGAAGGTATCCCCAGTACCGAGGTAGCTCCCACTGCATCCCCTTTGTCTGGAAGTCCCAAAATGTCCACCTCAAGCAGCAAGAGCCGATATCGGAGCAAACCACGCCACCGTCGGGGGAATAGTAGAGGCAGCCATAGTGACTTTGCAGGAATCTTGAAAAACCAACCAGCCCAGGAAAATTCACCCCAACCCTCTTACCTCCATCAGGCTCAGTCCCAGAACCCTTCTCTCCATCACCATAATACTCTGCAGCAGCAATACCAGCAACCCCCTTCTGCCATGTCTCAGAGTCACCATTCCAGACTTGGTATGCACGGACAGGACATTGCAACCTGCGCCAACAACTTGAGGTATTTTGGCCCAGCAGCAGCCCTGCGGAGCCCTCTCAGCAACCATGCTCAAAGACAGATGCCTGGCTCTAGCCCTGACCTCATCTCCACAGCCATGGCAGCAGATTGCTGGAGAAGTCCTGAGCCCGACAAAGGCCAGGCCGACCCCTGGGGCTGCTGTCAGGCTGACCCTTATGACCCCTGCCTCCAATGCAGGCCAGAACAGTGTGGGTCCTTAGATATACCCACTACTGAGCCAGTGGGGAGGAGCCCCAACCTTTCCAAGTCACCAGCACACAATCCCCTCTCAGAAAATGCCCAAGGTTCTGAGAAAATGGAAGAAAATGAATTCAACAGCTGTGGGTCTGCATCATCCCTTGGCACCCCTCATCACATCACCCCCCCAGCACTACCTCGAAAATCAAGGCCCCTTCAGAAGGTAAGGTGTGATGACAAGAGTAGTCTATGTCACTGCCTTCAAAGAATGTCAGAGCCTATCGTATTATGCACATTATAAAATGTACATAAAAAATATACATTTTGGAAAAGAACTAGACAACAAAAACACAAATAGAAATTTATTTTAAATACTTTCCACATTGTTTAAGCAGTGGACTGGGGAGTACACTTTGAGAACTACTCACCTAGGGACTGATTTGTTTATAATTCATGGAAAACCATATATCAGGGATATGTAATCAGAACGGTTTGGAAACCTCTACCCTAGAACTCTAATCTGGAGGGCTATTGGAAGGATTGAATCATAAAATTAAATTTGAGAAATAGTATTCTCAGCCTCTTCTTGGAGATTCCTAGTACACGTCACCACAGGTTTTGAGAAACCAGGTTTTGATAAACTTTTGTAATCCAGCATTTTCCTTACCTATTGTGCCACACCATGTTTTTAAAATAGCATCTATTAATCCCCCATGGAACTAGCTTTCTTTGCAGTATACTTTGGAAAATATTTTCTTAATTAATAATTGAAATGAGCTAACTAGTTATTGAAATTTGTTTCTTTCTCATCCACTGGCTGTGTGGGGTTTATTAGCTGGGAAGCAGTCTACTCTAGTGGTTAAAATCATGAGCTTGGGAGGAGATCATACTTCAAAGCCAGCCTCTTCCACTGTCTCCGTTTGTCTGTCTATAAAACAAGCCTAATAATGGACTCTGCCTCATGGGTTAATGTGAGGATTAAATGAATTAATACAAATAGGAAGCAGAGCAGAGCCTGGAATGTAGCAACCTTCCCAAAACTCCTGCCCATCTTGCTTGTGTGTGTTTTAAAGATCATGTGAAAAGTGGAGAAGTGTTTAGAACATGGTAAACACCTACCCAGTTACTAAGTACTGTTTCATCTCAGCACTGTTCATCAGGTATGTAATTAAAGGAAGAAAGAGTCTAAAATGTAAATAAGTATGTTTTGGTCACCTTAGTAGAAAACAGGTTGACCCTGGGGTCCATCATCTCAGAACTATGTTCTTCCTGCACATGTGTTGCTGCTACTGATCAAGCATTCTTGGGATAAAATTGTGTTTCAGGAGGAGCAGTTGATTTGGGCTGATTCATTCCCCACTCTCCCACACCTATAGGCAATTACATGTAATTTTTTGACAAGATTTTATTAAGACGAACTCACACATCATACAGTCCTTCCATTTTAAGTGTATGATTTAATGGGTTTTTGTTTTGTCTTTGTTTGTTTTTGTTTTTTTATTTATATATAACAGCGGAATGCATTGCAATTCTTATTACACATATAGAGCATAATTTTTCATATCTGTGTTTGGTTTAATGGTTTTTATCTACAGATTTCTTCAACCATCACCACAACCAATTTTAACATTTTCATCACCCCCAAAAAAGAAATGCCATACCCTTTGACAGTCAACCCATTTCCCAGTCTCCCACAAATAACATGTAACCTCTGAACCATCCTGATGCCATTTTGATGCCCTCTATGGGAGTGCAGGCCCCACTACACACACCTCGCGCATTTGTCCTCATTCACCCACACTCCCTCAGAGTGGCTCATCTCCTGTAACTGAGATCCCCTCCCGTGTGGATTCCAAGGGTAAACTGCTCATCTCAGCAGTCAGGATAACTCCATCCCTGCCTTTCGAATTCAAAAAAGCAAATCAGAATACAAATGAATAAGAGTAATTGGATTTTAGAACTGACTTTTTAAAAGGTAAATTATCCTCAATATTTGGTATGACTTGGACCCAGTCACCCAGCTCACAAAATTACATAATCCAGGGTGTCACATCAATGAACGTGGTTGTTCCTAAGTGTGGCTGCTTTTCTGCCTTGATGCCAAATGAGATTTTTCCTGGAAGGGAAAATTTACCTTTTCAGCTGAAACACTTACACAGCCTTCCATCTAGACCACAGAGCCCAGCTGTTGTGGGGTCTTCAGTGTCCCAGACATAGCCGCCTTATCCCTGCCAACATGCTCATTCAATAAAAATGCACGAAACACTTTGTTCTATTTATTTATTTATTTAGGTGTCAGGAGTCAAATCCAGAGCATCTCATATGCTAAGCAGGCATTCTATCACTGATCTACTTCCTAGGCCCCCACCTTTTTAAAAAAAATTGATAAATAAAGTATATATTTAGGGTAATAAACACCTATTTTGCAGCATTGCATTGGAGTAAGGAATAAAATACAATCAAGCTGTGGTCTGATCCTCAAATAATGTATGTCCTGGTGTATCTATAATATTAGTTAAAAGTGATTATATGTGAGGGGGAAAAGTATTGTTGGGCTTTGAAGAACTGAGAGATCACTTCTTGGGGAATCGCAGTGATAATGCTTGGAATTGCTAATGACAAAATCAGAGTCTGCCCGCAAGTCCATGGCCTCCTCTCCTGGTTCCCCTCCATCATCACCTCTGAATGCACTCTTGGAGGCTTCTCCTCCCTGAGGGCAAAGATAAATTTCTACTCAGTTCTGTATGTTCTCTACATCTAGGATAGGGCCTGTCACCTTGGACACCCAGGACAAGTTACTAAATGAATGAATAAGAATACATATGTTTAAAAATCCAGCCAACCACTACCAAATGCTTTTGATGATAATGAAATTTTTTACAGATGGTACAGGGTGTGGGGAAGAGAGAGAGATGCCAAAATAAATAAAAGCCTTTTCTTCTTATTCTCCTCAGAGTGGAGATGATTCCTCGGAAGAAGAAGAAGGGGAAGTAGATAGTGAAGTTGAATTTCCACGAAGACAGAGGTAAAACCAAATTGTCCATGATTGCTTTCAATGTAATGGAGTAAATCTTGAGTTTGTTGCATTTGGCTGTTCAACCCACAGGTCATTTTCTTTTTCTTTCTTTTTTTTTTTTGTACCAGAAATAGAACCCAGGGGCACTTAACCACCAAGCCACATCCCCAGTACTTTTTAATATTTTATTTAGAGACAGGGCCCTACTGAGTTGCTTAGGCCTTGCTAAGTTTTGAAGTCCTTCTGCCTCAGACTCCTAAACGGCTGAGATTACAAACATGTGCCACCCTGCGCGGCAACCACAGGTCACTCTTAACAGACACTTTATAGGGAAACTTGATCTCACTGTGTTCATGTTCTTATGTTCTTCCATTGCCAGATTTTGAAATTTCCCTGTACACAGTAGATCTTAGTTCATCAGAATTTATTTCATAGGAACTTCAAAATAAGGAATGTAAATGCAGATCCACCATTACAATAGAGAAGACAGTGTGAGGGATGGCCATACTCTTTGTGGGTACATTTACTGGTTCCTAGCGGACCTCCCTGAGTTAGTCTGCTCAGGCTGCTGTAATAAAACCACAGACTGGGTGGCTTAAACAACAGAAATTTATTTCTCACAGTTCTGAGCGCTGGAAGTCTGGGATCAAGGTAACAGCTGATTGAGTTGCCAGTGAGGGCACTCTTCCAAGCTTGCAGACAGCCACATTCTTGCTGTGTCCTCACAGGGCAAAGAGGGAAAGATGAGGAACCAGAATCTTGGGGAGACATAATTCAGTCCTTAGCACCTCTCTATTACTTTAAAATTAAATGGTACCCATCTTGATTTTTTAGTCTTCCTCAGGGATGGCAAAAATAAACTAGATTACCTCTCACCAAGACTGGCTGACAGATAAAGAAAGTAGCTGCCCCTGTGACAAAGTTTTTGTGCTTCTCCCTACTTCTAGGCCCCATCGCTGCATCAGCAGCTGCCAGTCCTATTCCACCTTTAGCTCTGAGAATTTCTCTGTGTCTGATGGAGAGGAGGGAAATACTAGCGACCACTCAAACAGTCCTGATGAGTTAGCTGATAAACTTGAAGACAGCCTGGCAGAGAAGCTGGACGACCTGCTGTCCCAGACTCCGGAGATCCCCATTGAGATATCCTCCCACTCGGATGGGCTCTCTGACAAGGAGTGTGCTGTGCGCCGCGTGAAGACGCAGATGTCTCTGGGCAAGCTGTGTGTGGAGGAGCGTGGCTATGAGGTAGGCGCCACTCCTTCCTCTCTCTTTCCCTCTTGGTTCCTTTGGGCCAGGATGTGCTCCAACCCTTAGGGTCTTTACAGTTTCCATTTATCATATAAAATATGACAGCTGTCTCTATGACGTGGAAGCACAAGATAACTGAGCTCCCAGAAGTAAGGCCAGTTTCCCCAAGTGAGGCATAAACACTGAAATGCTCAGGAACCCTTCATTTCAAGATATAACTAGAACCTCACCTCCTCTCCATGCTGTCTCCCAATCTGGTTAAGGAGCGGAGCCTTCTCCCTCTGTGTTCCTAGTCTCCCCTGGAAGATGCTGTTGCAGCACATAAAATACTTTATTGCATGTCTTGTATTATGCAGCTGGAGAGACAGACTAGCATCATGGTTAAAAGGAGTAATAAAAATGGAGCAGAGGCTGGGGTTGTAGATCAGTGGTAGAGTGCTTGCCTCACATGTGGAAAACACTGGGTTTGATCCTCAGCACCACATAAAAAATATAAAAAGTATTATGTCCATCTACAACTAAAAAAAATATATGTTTTWAAAAAAATGGAATAGTTCTCTTTGCAGACAAAAAGCAGGACAAGAGAGGGAGGCATCATACTGTCTAAAGGCAAATTCCAGACCTCCCACTTACTGTGTTACCATGGGCAAGTCACTGAATCTCTCCGAAGATCAATTTTTTTATCTGTAAAGTGGGGATAATAATATCTATCTACCCTAATTACCTGTCATATCTATGAGGTATGATCTCTCTCAGAGATGTGGTGAGCATTACATGAATTAACAGATGTAAAGCACTTAATAATAGTGCCTGATAACACTATAGTAAATACCACTAAGTGGGAGGTGTGGAGGTCTGTACCAATGGGCCTAGCCACCATCATTATCAACTTCATGTCTCTTTTCCCCATAAGCCCCAAGGACAGGACCTGGTCTCATTTATCTTTGTATACCCTACCCTACACAGTACCCGTCATGGGGGAGATGTTAAATCTGGGCTCACTGAGGAATTGTAGAAATGAACTGAGTTTTCTCTTGTCTTGGCTTTACAGAACCCTCTGCAGTTTGAAGAATCAGACTGTGACTCTTCAGATGGGGAGTGTTCTGACGCAACAGTTAGGACCAATAAACACTACAGCTCTGCTACCTGGTAATGAAGGAACACCCCTCCAGAAGAGCTCATGGCGTGCTGATGTTTCAAATCCTCCACCCCCTAGACTCCTTCCTTTCTCTTCCTGCTTTTTGTCAGGGAAGAGAACTGCCCCATCTTTACCACCCCTAGAAATGAGCTGCAATAACAGGAACATGAGACTTCGCAAATCTCTGGAAAAAAATATCCAAATGAAATTAAGTCTCACTGAACATTTCAATCAAGAATGGCAGGGATCTATTTTATTGAATATTCTAGCTACTGTAACATTGATATTTATTTTTGTTGGACATTTTAACACTTTGTACTGTAAAGAGTGAACTATATATGATATAGAGAGAGACACAATAATTTCTTGCAAAAAAAGAAAAAGAAGAGGACTTTAAGAGCAACATACTTGGGAATACTTGGGGCCAGGAGGTATTATTGCTGCTTCCACAGGGGACCAGGTCTTTTGGCCATAAGTGACAGAAGAGCCAGAGCAAGACATATTGAGCATTTTAGAACACAAAGAACAGCAAAAGAAAACGCAATTCCAGGTAACTTGTGAACAGATCACATTAAGTTCAACCAGCTTGTTCAGGTGGGTGATGGAAATGACCTAGAGAAGTTCGGTGACCAGAAGTATTAAAGGCATGTGCTTCCTCTAGGAGAAGATAAACAAACAAAACTGAACATGGAAACTGACTTCATTTTTCAAACTTTAAGCAGCATTTGGTAGTGAGGCTTACAGATTGCATCACACCTTGTCCCTGGCAAATACTTCCCTTTTTAATGCTGTCATTGTCGTTACCTTGGCAAATGTATTACCTTGACCAATGTGTTGATCTTTCAGATTCAAGTGCCATTTTCCTATAGCTTTTTTCCTTTCTACTGTTGACCACTTCCTTTAGGAAAAAGGGAGGAGTTGCTGAGGAGACAAGGATGMGAGAGAAAGACCACCCACAGCAATGTTAGAAAAGCAAGTGTGGAATTTGTGAAAGCATGTTCTCAGGATGGTCAGTTCAGCTATATGGAGAAGATGGAACCACCCCTCTCTAGAACAGGTGGTTTGTCTGCTAGAATCATATTGATTCAAATAGGAGAATAGAATTTGAAGGCAGCTAGGATGTGTGTGTGTATGTATGTGTGTGTGTGTGTGTGTGTGTGTGTGAGTGTGTGTGTCTGTCTGTCTGTCCAGCATCCAATCCCAAACCATCCCCTTGTTTTGATTCATTAACCCAATCTGTCCTGGAAGCTTTAGTGACTGGCTGTCATTGTTAGAATAAAGGCAAAATAATCAACTTGCAAAAAGCAACCCTTTTTGAACCACAGTAGCATTTTTGTTAAATGCTACTTGTAAAATATGTTTTAGTTCACTCTAAATCAGTGCAGTTTTGATTAATTGGATTTGGAAATTCATGGAAAGAATTTCACAACTGATTCTGAGCAGGGAATTGGAAAGATTTTACTTTGTCAAAAACTTGAGGTTTTTCTTATCTCCAGGGACATGGGTTCTAAAAAGCATCAAAAGGTACTTCATGGTGCCTGGCTTCAAGGAAATTTTTATCTAGAATTTTATATACAAATAGATGTTGACCTAATTCTTGTCTCTGTCTCTAAGAAAACATACACTTGCTGTAGACCCTCTGATATGTGTCCTGTTGGATGTTAGGAAAGACTTGCAAATACTAAACCATTTCCAATGCAAAAGAAAATGGTACCCTCCTCTGGGTGCCAGTGATTGCATCAGCCAAAAAGGAAAGGCAGGAGGGAATTTAGAGCAGTTCCTTTTGTTTGTTTGATCCCTCCATTTGTTTACACTTTATGTTGATAAATTGATTTAAAATTTAGTGTCTGTAATTTGTAGTTCATCAGTAGGATGAAAGAAAATGTTTAACTTATACAGAGAACAGTATTGTTTGCATTAAATTATTCCATTTTGTATAATTCTGTAGCTGGACTACATGAAAGATCTTAAGTTATGGCATTATTATCATTGTTATTTTATTTTATAATATTATCATTCTCATTTTCTGTCGATCAGAAGGTGCAGTTTATGATGTAGCACAATGATTGTGTTTATTGCTAACCATGAATCATTATGGATTTTATGATTTTAATGAAGGTGTGAACATGAGACTGCCACTTAGGAGCTCCCTGGTAGTCACTGTAGTTGTGTCCCTAATTTTCTGTGTACAATGATCATCTAAAGATGCATGTTCTGCCCCAAAGTCCAATGGGCACAGTGTGGTTTTGACTCCATCATGAAAGCTCTCAGTGGGCAGATGACTAAGAGAGTGGACAAATTGTTCAAAACTGTAAACTTTCTCAAATTTCTTAAGAAATAAAATCATGGGACTGCATTAGAAGCAAAAAGAATTATTTAACCCCCCCAAGAAGAACAAACCTAGAGAGTTCATGGAACTCATGGATTAATTTCAAGAATTGACAATATGGTTTGTAATCTCCTTCCTGCCAAAGCCCACAAAACCATCCTTCTCTCCTAAATGAGAGTAGCAGGAAGACTAAAAGAAGAATATATACATATATATTTCCTGGCCATGATGTCATCCCATCATGAATAAAGAAATTCAAGGAGGCCAAGTCACGTAGAGGATCATGGGGCTTAGAAGAGTACCTTGAAAGATGCTATTTTCCATTCTCTGACTTCAGATTTCCCTGCACTTTGCATCTTTGTGGTTCATTGCTCCTTGGAAGGCAGAATGCTACAATTGTGTCTTCTGTTCAATACAAAATACCCACACTTGTTCATTTAGGTTTATACCCACTTTTAGTGTCAACAGAGAAATATGAGGGTCAATTTTAGTCTTTAGACCTTTCAGTGATGGTCTTCCTAGAATGTCCACCCCTGATGCCTCATAATTTTGATCAATTTTTTGAATTCTCATCTTGGCTATCTGTCATACTAATGCCACCTTATCTTGATTTACTATTTTGAGAAATAGATAGTCTTGAAACTTCAGCCATTTGTTAGTCAAGATTTTAATAAAGTCCACATTGAATAACTTTTGAGTAGAATTGACTAGAGTTTTCAGAAAAGAATGGTGTCCTCAGTCAAAGTTAAAAGGGAGGGCTGGAGATGTAGTTCAGTAGTACAGGGCTTGCCTAGTGTGTGTGATGTACTGAATTCAATCCAGAAGAGTTGAATCAAGAGCTCAGGGAATCTAAGAGCTTATTCTTTGGGTCCTATCAGCCTGAGTAGTGCTTCAAGGAACCTCACAGGACTATGACTTCAGGCTTCCTCACAATTGAAAGTCTAAACCTCTTGGGTTCAACGTCTACATTCATTTATTTGGCTCACTTCAAGATGAGTTTCAATTTATATTGCAGATGAGAATTTGATTTTGATCTCCATTCTTTTTCTAGATCATGTCCTCAAATACAAATTTCTCTTAAAATTGGTTAGTAGAAGGACTTTGAAATTATAATGGATCTCTTACCACCACTCAAGTTTAGACCTGTTTGCAAGACTGTGGGGAGCTCCCACCCAGAAACATGAAGATGCTAGCTAGCTGTCATAAGTTGATTTGGTTTGGCCTACTTGAAGTTCAAATATTTTAAAACTTTAGTATCAACAAATTCATCCTTCTAGGATGAAGATCATATATAGTAGGATTTAATAAGTATTGGACATTTACTCCAGGTCTCCTTGTGCTAAATTTTCTTCTAGCCTATTCTACGTAATAGATGTGACGGTTTTGGATTTCCCTGGTACTATCCTACCAGATTTAAATGCCCCACTCCATTGTGGAGCACTGGCATCCTSTATGTGAATGCTTCCTCATTGATGAGATGCTTTACTTTTTTTTTTAATGCCTTTATGTCTCAGTTTTTTCCTTAAAACATTCCTACTTGAACTTCCTAGAACTTAGTTCTCCAGAACAGAACAGAATATTTGGAATCCAAGGCATTCCTGTCCTACTGCTCAGTATATGTGATATATCTTGTTCCCCACTAAGCCAGAAACCAGAACCACCATATACAACCCTCTTCCATCTCTGTCCTAAACACTGAAGACCAGCATTACTTAAAGAGCACCATATTCTTTCCTACTGCATCTACTACTCACAACACAGCACTTGGAGCAACAATTACCACTTGATTGGAATTGGTGAACAAAGGGAAATCTGTTGACTATCCCAGCTTTAAACTCATAATTACTTTCTGAAAGTGAGCTCTTGAGCTTTTTGAGCTCTTGAGTTTGCCCTGATGGAAGAACAGGATCACACCAGTGTTTTCCTTCTGCATCCCACACAAGGCTGGCAGGGGCAGTACCAAGACAGGGAAAAGGCCACTTACCTCTACTCACTGCCCTTTTGGACCACACTTCCACTTGAACACTCACCAATCGCTGATGGATCAACCTCCAAATGTCTCCTCATCCAATCATCTAATTGTGTTGAATGAACATGTTCTTCCTTCACCATCTATAAACAGGAAGTTAATGTTCTAAGTCCTGGTTACTTGCTTCCTCCCAAGATGCTGTGAGACTAACATGACATTCTTTTCAAGACTTGTCTTATACTGTCAGTATGAATTTAGTGCCTTTCCAGGCAGCAAGGTTTTTCTTTGCTGATTTCATAGAACAAATGTCACACCACCAATGTTACCCACTTTAGAGATTGTCCCATTAGAATTGTTAGTTTGCTTATTTGCATGTTACAACTGATACTGCAAATTGGAATGGATGAAGCTGCTAAGTGGAGGACCCTTGTGGAACCTGGAGTATTTCTCAGGGACAGGTGGCAGAAGAGGGGAGCTCTGAAATTGCAGCTCTGAGAAACAGGAAAAGGAACTGGATTAAGGCTTTGGTTAACTGTTATGTGGCCAAGGCATGATAGCAGGATTTTACACAAGCCAAGCGTCAAGCAGATGGCAAGGCCACTATCAGGAAGCTTCCAGCAGAATCACAGGCCTGCCCAGAGCCACTTCACAGCACTCAGGGGATCACTGGCTCCTGGCCTCAGGCTGCTGTCCAGTGACCATGGTCCTCCAATGGTTGCAAGCCAGAGGGAACCCCAGCCAGGACTTGCAAGCTGTTAGGAAAATGTCCCATCTTGACCATATCACCCCAGTGGCTCTCCATCTCCAGAGTGACCACATCCCAGACTCTGGAAGTAGGAAGATTCTCTTAAAATAATTTGAGTTACTCTAATTTGAAGCAAATGAACCTTTTGTGATAGATCTCAAAATGAACTCCCTCATCTGTCTCTCCTGCAGTCACCTGCACTGTCCATTCCCCTGCTCCTTGTGTTGTTTTCCGATGCTGGCCCCTCTTTGTATTGAACAGCAATGGAACGAGAATGACTATCAAAGCAAACAAATGCATGAAATTAAACAAAAAGTGTACTTCACTGTTTTCTGGTTCTTCCTTTTTAGAACGGTACTGTATCCTGTGAGCTGCCTTAACAAATGTGTCAGTATTTGTCAGAACTTCAGACAATAAAAGACTTTACGTGAGTAGGTTTTCTGAAGCCAAGAAAAACAAATGATGGGGAAAGTTGGTTTCTGTGACCCTGGGGTTTCAGTCACAAGCACAAAAGGAGCCATCATGCTTGTTAGACTCTCTTTTTGAGTTTTCTGTAAAAGCCTAGATGGGCACTCTGCTTCTTCCCTGTGCTACTCTGCTGCCCATCCTGCAGGTGCTTCTGTTACTGGTGACCCTACTATGACACGAGCAGAGAAAGGAAAACGGGAATCTGGAATCATTTTGGTGAAAGGCCTGGTGATAGTGGAACACTAAAACACCATTTGGGGTTTTACAATTTTCAGTCAATCGTGATTCCCACTGGTAAAGGCAGTTAAAAACCACATGTACAAACAAAGATTTATGTCCATTTATTTATTACATAACATTTATATCCATTTATTTGGTAAACCACTTTACTTGTAAACCGATAAGGCACATTGTTGCAAAATCATGCAGGAAAGAGACAGATCTAAGGATCTGTAAAAGGGCAAAGAGCACACATTTGCAACAGTGTGGAGAATTCCCTGGCTCTTCCCTCCCTCTACTCCCAAACACAAACAAAAGCCACTGATTTCAAAGTCCAGATAGGCCTCCTCCTCACCCAAACTCTTGTTATCAAGGCTTTAAAAAAAAAAAAAAAAAACACAAGGGTTGGGGATTTAGCTCAGTGGCAGAGTGCTTGCCTAGCAGGCGCAAGGCCCTGGGTTCAGTCCTCAGCCCTAGGGGAAAAAGTGCTAAAAAAAAAAAAGCAGACATATTTTTAAAAATGAAATCTTTGCTGTGAAAAGACCATACCATGTCCCAAAACACTACTTTGGAACCCATTCTTCCTATGGAATGTAAGTATTCCAAAGAATTCATGTACAACAAGAGGCTCAGATTAAAGCCTTGGCGAGATTCTTGGCCAATCCAAACAAACAAACAAACAAAAACCCAATGGATGACGCTCAAGAGTAGCAGTTCTGATAAATTATGAGAATACAGGATTGCAGAGCTGGTCAGTTTAGGTGCCAAGCGCCATCTGTCCATAGAGACAGTAATGTAGGTCCCTGCCAATCCAATTCTGCAGCTGTAGGAAGCAATAACAACCTTAGGTAATTAAAATACAACACAACCAAGTAATAAGACCAACTTTTCTTTTGAATTAAAAAATACAATTACTTATCAGTTTTTCTCAACAAATAACAAAAACATTCATAAGTATACTAGTGTACTGAATCCATTCTCCAGAAGGAGGTAGAAGGGATTCCCAACTGAAAGGACATATTAGATAATGTACAGATTGTCATTTCATTCAGGTGACTCAAGGGCCCTGCCCTGTCCAGAAGAGTAAAGATTTCCCTACTATAGATCCATAACATAAAGGTTTGTTCCATTCATATTTAATAATCTGTTTATAGTTAGCTTAATTGTCAGGACATATAACCATGAAGAGATTTGACATACATGGTTAACATCACTGTGTCTGAACACAGAGCATCACAGAAATCACTGTGCACTTAAGCTATATGTGGAAGTCTTAGGCGGTTTCCCTTGGCTTATGGAAGAGGTAGATCAGCAGCAAAAAGAAAAAAATAAATAAACAAAAAAAAAAAACAGTACATAAGAAACATTTCAAGAGACTAACAGCAGGTGGAGAGTCATGTCAGCAATGTGGGTTCACAAGTCCGCAGTGATCCTAATAACATCCATGGAGACTTAACAGAAGAACACGTGTCACACACAGCCTATCATTTTGCAAGAGGTACTCTGGACAARGACAACCAACTTCTCCCAAGGCAGCCCAGGAGTAAGCAAGAGGCAAACCCAACAGACCACCCTGAGTTCCTTTTTAATTAATAAACAAGAGATGGGATTTTCTAGGAGGCCACCCATTCCCAGTCCTGCCAACGCAAGGCCAGACCAAACTAGATACGATTCACCTTTTAAAGCTGAGTGCCCTTTGTGACAAGACACTGCACACAGATGAACAGTGTCCAGATTATCTGGTGAGGGTAATTAAAAATCAATGAGGACCTTCAAAGGACCACACCCAGTAACAAATCATCAAGAGTCCAAGGATGTGGCAAACAAAAAATCCAGATCACGTGTCTTTTCTATTTATATGATTAGTGTTGCTTGGCTCATTCAATTGCAGGTGTTTCTGGCTAAATTTTTTAATGAGAGTTCCAGGAACTAAGGCCACCAGAGCAATGGCCAACAGCTTAAAGACTGTTCCCCAGGAGAAGAGAGCATCCAGAGAGGTTAGGGTTGACAGGATGGAGCCTGTCTGCACACAGATGAAATTGTATGGGATCAAACCTGGAAAAAGAAAAGGGGAAAGAACCTGTTAACAGGAGAGTGAAAAATGAAGAAAATAACATAGAATTCAGAACAGTGATACCAGCTTTTGCCCAACCCCTGACCCCTAAACATATTCTCTCCTCTCCATCTTTCCATTATTTTCCTTTCTTTCCTCACTTCCCTTATACATGTCTTGTTCAGCAAAAGAACTTTTGATRGTCTACACAAATATACATAAATATGTGTGTATATAATTTACATATATAAAATCCATTTTATTTAATTTTTCCAAATTAAAATTTTATTAAATTTTTCCAAATTTTATATGCATGAATTATACACACACATATTATACATAAACCATTTAGATAAAAATTAAAAATTGGAAAGATAAAATGAATGAACAGTAAAATAAGGGAGCAAGTTAGCAAAAACAAGAAAATGCATGAGGTTCACACATTTGCTAAAGGTAGGCCCTGAATTTGGTCCTGAGCACCCTATAATCACAGAGAAGAGAGAAACACCATCATTATAAGATTTACAGTATGCATAAGATTAAAAATACAAACAGGGCTGAGGGGTGTAGCTCAGCAGCAGAGTGCTTGCCTAGCATGCACAGGTCCCCAGGTTCTAACCCCACCACTATAAAAACACACACATAACAGTTTCTTAAAAGGAGTACTATTTTTCATATTCTCCATCAAAGCCACTAGATCCCAAAAGTCTGGCTGGTAGCTGGAAAGGCTAGTCACTTAAGCATCTCCTGGTCAAGTTAAAAACATTCTCAGGGCTGGGGATGTGGCTTAGTGGCTCAGTGGTAGAGTACATGCCTGGCATGCATGAAGCCCTGGGTTTTATCCCCAGCACTGAAAAAAACAAAACAAAAACACATCCTGAGCACCCCCCCCCCCAGATATTCTAATTACTTGGTTCTGGAGTAATGCCCAGGAACCTGTGTTTTAAGTCTCTCCTACCCCCACCCCTAAGCTTCTATTGGTCTGGGACCCCTATAATCCATTCCCTCTCTATAGCAGAGGAAGTACATGGGAGATGATAGAACACTCAAGGTCATACAGTTGGGCAGGCAGGAACCCTGTCTCCAGAATCTTTCTAAGCCTCATTCTACCTAGGTAATTTCAAGCTGTTAACTGCCATTAGCTGAGGTACGGAGGCACTCTGTCTGAAAGCTGATATGACCAGACTTGGCTGTGGTCGATCTTGCTTCGATTTAAGATCTYAGGCATTGCCTATTAATAGCAGCCACTCCACTACAGATTTGTTATGTTTGACTGAAAAGCCCTGAATGTCATTCCCTCCACACTGAATTTGGTTCCGAGATTTAAGAGAAGGTAATACTTGCTTTAGGCTTAAATAGGGTGCTTTACTTCTAGCCTGGAGAAAGTAACAGTCACTGATCTTACAGGATGTTTATGTTTTACCATTCTAATAAAGGTGATTCAAGGCCTACACTCTGAAAACACTACTCTAGTCCCAGCCCTTTATCTGGCAGCCTGTTGAGGATGAGTAGCTCTAATGGAGGTCGTACGATTGTCAAACCAAGGGGAGACATCAGATGTCCTCTAATTCAGTAGATTGCCCCCATCTTCTTGGAGGTAAGCACGTGCCCATGTGGCAGGGGACTCAGGGAAGTTCCCCAACACAACATCTCTGAAGACTCCAACTTAATCCTCTAGCATCTTACCAATAAGAACTGAGAAGAAGAACTGCACAATGGGGATGTTCAGAATCGGGGCCGAGAGATTCAAGAACCAGTTTGGTGTCATAGGGAAAAGTCTCAAAAACAGTAAAAAGAAGAACAAGCTGTTTCTGTTCTCCTCCACCTGCAGCAAAGAGGACAAGACATTAGGAAGCAGAAAGGCATCTGGGCACTATTCTGGACACTTTACATATACTACTCCCAACTCTTTCCATAACCCTCTAGGGTAGAGACTGTTTTCCCCATTTTAAAATCAGAGGTGCCTAAGGATCAGAAAGCCTGGGAACTTGCCCAAAGCCACAGAAATTTGATCCCAGGTCTGTTATCCTGAAGACAACAGAATCCCTAAGTCCTCGGGAGGCAGGGCAAAGGAGGACTATGGGAGATCTCTGCTCCTCACTCCCCGTAGGACATGAGGTAACTCTCAAGGAACCAATACTTGGATGTGCCCTACTCCTTACCTTTCTCTGCATCAGGGCCACTTTATCAGGGAAGTAAGAGACCACCAGCTGTTTGCCAAAAATACTGGAGAGCAGGTAGCAGCATGTGGCACCCACCGAGGTTAGTATACAGCATAGCACGAGTCCTAGCCATGGCCCAAACAAGGCACCAGCTAATACGTTCTGCAAAGAAAGCAAACCCTCAGCCATGAAAACAAACATCTGGCAGCTATCATCCACCTTATCATGGAGCCCTAGAGTCACAGGTTCCCTCCTCCTAGGAATCATACACCAACCTCAGTCTCTTTACCTTTAAAACAAGGATAAGGAGTAAAGCCTCAGAGGACAGAAGCCAATTAAAAGAGATAATGTGCATATACAGCATCCAGTCTACTGCATAGACCTGAAATCAACTATAAGAGCTATAAGAAGGCAGAAATCATGAAATTCACAAAATATTTTTACTATTTCAAAGGATGAAACAAATCATGAGTGTTTCTTTGGTAAGACCCCACAAGCTATAATGTTGTTTCTTGGGGTTTTGCTGGATTATATCTAAGTAGTATGCTAGCACTGGGATTCCAGGTTGACCAAAGCTCTCACTGACACTTAAAGAAGCCTTAGTTCCACAAAAATGGAAAAGTAAACCAATACTTCCTAATGCAGTTTGGTTGGTAAACATCATCTTGCTAAAGCATGGGATCCAAGAAAGAAACCAAAAGGGGGCCTTAGCAGTGGGAAGGTGGGAACCTGCCGGGCACCTACCATGTTGAAGTGCTTGACTACATGTCTTATGGAATCCTCACTCCACCCCTGTGTCATACACTGTCCTGACCACATTCTACAACTGTGGTCAAGATCATACCTAGTAGAGTGAGAACACATCCCTAGATCTGGGTATGGAGCCTTCACTGGCTCTCTACCTTAAACAGGGCTCAGCTCAACAGGGAAGACAGTACAGGGGCAGCCCCAAAGAGTGAGCCCCTGACCTCAAGCACCAAATGCTTTCCTGCCTTTCTTTGAAATGTTTGCTTGCTTTTTTCCAGTTTTCAACCTCCAAAAAAGAAAAAACTGCTTAGGTAGAGCCGAGTTGAGCCTAGAGTAGAGAAAAGGTGCTGGGGGAAGAAAGGGAGGCAGGACAAAAAGAAGCTACAGGGTTTCCTGTTTGTCACTCAATCATTCAATAAGTGCTAAGAGCCACTGTGTGCCAGTCTCTCTAAACCCACTGTTTCATTTCATCCTCCAATAATTGTAGGGGATGCCAGAGAAATAGCAGCATTTTCCAGATAAGGAAAACAGAGTTGGAAGGAGGGCAGGACACTGACCAGGAAGCTGGAGCCAGGTATGGCAAAGCCCTGTTTGTAGAGGTAGGCGCTGCAGAAGAGCAGGAATACGTAGGCCTGGTGCTCCTTCCTGTACTCTCGAAGGACCTCAGAGAGCTCCCGCAGCTCTGCTAGGTCTGAGGGGAACCAGAGTGACCTGGGATTTGGAAAAGCAAATGAAAACATGAGTCCAAATCACCCTAATGCCTAAGAAAGTTACTTGTTGTGTCTTTTTCCAAAGTAGGATTATAGCTGGGCATTGTGGCACATGCCTGTAATCCAAGCTAATTGGAAGGCTGAGGCTAAGAGATCTCAAACTCAAGCCTAGTATGGGCAACACAGCAAGATCCCTACTCAAAAACAAAACAAACAAAAAGTTTATAAACATCATCTGGTTTGTTGGGGACTCATATATAACTTGGCCCAAGGTAAGAAGTGACCTGACAGAAATCAGCAGAGACAGACAGAAGAGCTCTGGTTGGGAAGCAAGAGACCTAGGTTGGTATACCTACCCTGCCTGGTCATGGGTCTGTTTCCTTAACAAAAAATGAAAAGTTGGTATTATTTAATCAGTAAATTTCCCTTAGCTCTCAGATTTTATAATGGATGAACTGACTAATTTTTGATGCTGAGAATTAAAAACAGGGCTTCCTACATACTTACCACTGACCTACACCCACAACCCCTTTATGATCTTAAGCAGCAAGTGGATTCATTTCTAGGCAAGCACTAAACTTCTTAAATTGCCTTCCTTTCAAGGACATCCCTTCCCCAGCAAGACAAAAATAATTCAGACTTCACACTGCTCCTGAGGTACTAGGTAAACTGACTTAAATCATTCACTAAAAAGCCAATTCAAGATTTTAAGAGAAGTAGACCTATCCCACACCATAAACATAACTTTGTTGATATATGTCAGGCTTAAAGCCAACTCCCAAAGAGACTTCTTTTTCACCCTGGTTAAAACTGGTGTCCAGTGCACTCTGAATACTGTCCAAGGGTCACAGTATAAAGGCTACCTTGTCTCTGCCATCTGAACAATCCTTGAATCCATCAGTGATCAATTATGAGTAACCCCTCCTAGTTCTCATGAGAATACTTTTCTTAGTATGTCTGACACCCACAAAAAAGCCTTCTCAGCTACAGCAAAAGAATACAGACAACAATTCTCTTAATATTCAAATATCAGTTAATTCCTTGATAATGTAATGCTGTGCCAGGCATCTTTCCATGCACTTTATAAATAGTATGAGCAGTGGCACACACAATGCCAGCTACTCAGGAGGTTGAGACAGGAGATGGCAAACTAGAGGCTGGTGTGGGCGATTTAGGGAGACCTTGTCTCAAAACAAAAACAAAAAAATTAAAAGGGGCTAGAGATGTAGCTCAGTGGCAGAGCACTTTCCCAGCATCCCCAGTACAAAAAAAAAAAAAAAAAAAAGGAAAAGTATGTAGCAATCCTGAAAACCGGCCGGGTAGGTATTGTTCTGCCTCCTCCTGACAAGTTGTCCATGAGAGAAGGAGAAAAGTGGGGACAACCAGGACCAGGACAGGCAGACCAGACATTATTTCGTGAACTTGTTCACGCAACGTATCTTCCGAAGACCCAAGGGCTGATCCGCCCGAAGTGGAGTGGGGGTCGCAGGGGGGACCTGAAGGCGGACGAGGAGGGGCTGGGGGTCCACACATGAGCGATGGTTGGCTGGAAACGGGCTCCTCGCTGAACAGGAGGCGGTGATACACGCGAGCAGAGGCTCCGCCCGGGGTAGGCGCCCGGTTTCCCTCAAAACCCAGCCCGCGCAGCCCTCAACACACAAGTCCCAAGCCGGCTCCGTCCACCAGCCTGTCCGAGGCCGAAGTCCCGCTCCCGGGTCCCGAAAATGAACTTCAAATCCCGGTCCCCAACGCGCCCAGCCCCGGACCCGGCTCCCTTCCTCTGATGGGAATCCCGTCCCGCCGGCGCCGCCACGCACCTGCCTTCAGGCTCCTCGGGGGAGCCTGTTCTCGGCCCACCGGGCAGTCGCGTCGACAGCAAGTACAGGGCAAAGGTGCAGCCGGCGAAGACCAGGAGCAGGCCGAGCAGAGGGCGCATGTCGGCGCCGCACCCCGGCCAGCCGGGCCTCGCGACTGCTCGCTATACTGGTTGCGGCGGAAACCTGGCAGCGCGCGGACTGAGCCCGCGGAGCGCCTTCGCGGACGGACCGGGGCGGGGTCCACGCCAAGCCCCGCCCCCCGTGCAGACCCCGCCTTCTCCGGGAAAACCCTCGCTCAGTGTGTGTGTGTGTGTGTGTGTGTGTGTGTGTGTGTGTGTGTGTGTGTGTGTGTGTGTGTGTGTGTGTCTCCTCTCATCTGTGGGTGTTCTATTTTTTTTTTTTTTGGTACTGGAAATTTAACCCAAGGGCGCGTTACCACTGAGCTGCACCCCCAGTTCTTTTAATTTTTTATTTTGAGAGGGCCTCGTTGATTTTCTGAAACTGGCCTCGAATATGTGATCCTACTGTCTAAGCCTCCGGAGTCTCTGGGATTACAGGCATGCGCCACCGCGCCTGGATCTTCTATGGTTATCCCTGTCCATTTCTCCACTTGTTCCGCAGACATTGAGCACCCACAGCACAAATGTAGAACCGAAGCTCCAATCAAGTTCAGTGGGACAATAAGGGTGACCACAAAAGGCAAATCACAATATTGCCTTTTACTCAGCACTACTATATTCCCATTAACCCTAATCCTCACAACCATGCTGCAAAATAGTTATTTTTGTTTGTATTTAACAAATGAAAAATCTGAATCGTGGGGGTGGGGATGTAATTCAGTGGTGCAGTGCTTGTCTTGTCTTGCATGTGCAAGGCCCTGAGGTGGATTCCCTGGCACAAAAATAAAATAAAATAAAAATAATTTTTCTTTAAAAGCTGGAGGTGTTGGCACTTGCCTGTAATCCCAGCGGCTCAGGATGCTGAGGCAGGAGGTTCACAAATTCAAAGCCAGCCTCCACAACTTAGCAAGGCCATAAGCAATTTATGAGCCCCTGTTTCAAAATTTAAAAAAAAATAAAGTAAAAAGAGCTGGGGATGTGGCTTATGGTTAAGCGCCCTGGGTTCAATCCCTGGTTAAAAAAAAAAAAAAAAAATACTAAATCTCAGAAACATTGAATGACATCCCTCAAAAGAGAACCGAGATAAGAATCCAGGTCAACCTGGCTCCACAGCTAGTGGTCCTTCCACTGCATGGATTCTGGTTTAAGTTTACCCTCAAGGATGAGCTAGAGCTCCACAAGCAGAAAAAGGAAAGACAGGGTGAGTCCAGCTTCAGTGAAGGCCAAAGTGTATGACAAATTGGGGACAAATTAAAGAGCACTGGAAGGTAGGATGGGGAGTTGGTTTTTTAGTATTGCAGATGGTAAAACACCAAGGGGGTGTTTGATGAGTCAGAATGAGTTAGGTCTGGTTTGGGGGTCACTTTGGCAGGTGAGTAGAATATGTAGGGTTAACAGCTGCAATTGTCCTGATGAGACAGGATATGGCATGAGCCAGGACACAGGGTTAAAAGTGTATTATGACTCATTTTTTAAAATATTTATTTTTTAATTGTAGTTGGAAACAATACTTTTATTTCACTTATTTATCTATATGTGGTGCTGAGGATCAAACCCAGGGTCTTGTATGTGGGAGGTGAGTGCTCTACCACTGAGCCACAATCCAAGCCCCATGACTCATTTTTAAGAAGGAAAAAGAGATTATATTTTATCTTCTCACAATATTAAAATATTTACAAATGAAATCATTCAATGTCAGGTATTTGCATCAAAAAAATGAGGTGGGTTTGGTGGGTAGAGATACAGAWAGAACAAGATTGGCTGTGAGTTGACTGTTGCTGAAGCTGAGTAATGGACACACAGAGGCAGATTCTGTACTGGTTTCTCTGTTTCTGTATGTGTTTGAAGTTCTCCATTTAAGAAAATGGGAGAAACAGTCTCATCCCTCCATTTCAGCTGAACATGCACATGCATACCTCTGATAACATTCTTCTCCCTATCTGACAATTTCTGCCTAGCAAATTCTTACTCCTTTGTCCATACTCAAGACAGTTGTCACTTACCTTTCCGATTTCCTCCATCATTCCTTCTCTGTGGCTAGGGATCCCTAAGAAATGCCTGCGCTCCTTTTGCAAACCCATGCTCCAGGTTCATCATCTTTCCCCCCAGGACACAGTGAACATTGTTGTAACTGAGAGAATGTCTCATATATTTGGGGATCATATTAGCTTTCTCTTACTATAGGAAAGCAACAGATATAAGTAACTTAAGAAGAACAGTCTAATTTGGGCTCACAGTTCTAGAGGGTTTAGTCCACTGTTGGTTGGTCTTGTTCCTTTTAGGCCAATGGTGAGGCAGCTCATCATGGCTGGGAGCTCATGGCTTAGCAAAACAATTCACCTCGCAGCTGGGAGGTGATAAAGAGGAAGAGGAAGGATCCCACTATCCTCTTTAAAGGTACATCCCCCCAAATCTGAAGACCTCCCACAAGGCCCTGACTCAAAGTTTCCACCACCTCCCAGTATTGCCTAGCCAAGGACTAACAGTTTAACACATGGGCTGTTGGGGGACACTTATCCAAACCATCTGTCTAGAGGAGATCATTGACATGAGGGGAAGAGGGAAGGTCTCCTAGGGATTCCATGAGAAAAAAATGACTACAGGTGACATTCATTGAATATCTAGTACAGTCTAGAAACCAAATACAGCATTTTATATGCATGAATTTACTTATTTCATATAACATGAAGCAGGGACTCTTAACTACCCCTCTTCATAGTCCAGAAAAACTGAAGCTTAGGAAGAGGGAAGCCAGCAAGTCAAAGAAGCAGTGGAGGTCACACACCTTTGCAAACACACTCCTCCCCAACACACTCTTCCCCACCATGCATGCCCTTTTGAAAGAGAAGACTGAAACTAGAAACCTGGGAAGGAAACAGTGAAATTCACCAAAGAGAACAGATGACTCATTCAGGGATGTTGGAGAAACAGGAAACAAACAAACAAAAAAAAAGTGGGGGCTGGGAATGTGGCTCAAGTGGTATGGTGCTCGCCTAGCATGCATGAGGCACTGGGTTCGATTCTCAGCACCACATAAAAATAAAAATAAAGATATTATGTCCACCTAAAACTAAAAAAAATAAATATTTTTTTTTWAAGTGTCCTGAGATCCCAGGAGAGATTTTCAGAAAAGGAACCATAGCTGTTAGGTGCAGGACAGACTGAATAAGTTGTCTGCAAGGCATGCCAAACAAAGTTAGCTGCAGGATGACCTGGCTTCTCAAACCCTCTGTCTGGTTCTTTATCACCTGTTTGCTTCAAGCCCAGATGCCCAAGTCCCCGCTCAAGGCTGAACGCTTGGCCCCCCTGCTCAAGGCTGAACACTCAGCCCGCCGCTTAAGGCCAGGCACTTAACCCCCTTGTGTGCCAATAAGGCAGCTTGCAAACCCAGAGACCCTATTAGATTTAGGCTATAAAAAATCCCTCCTTCCGGGACCCTCTCTCTTGCTCCCTCTCTTGCTCTCTCTCTTGCTCTCTCTCTTGCTCTCTCTCTCTCTCTCTCTCTCTCTCTCTCTCTCCTTCTCTTTCTTTTCTCCTCTGTTGCACTGCTACAATAAAGATCTCTTGGTCGCTCCAAGTGTTGTGGTCACTTTCCTTTCAATAGCCAGTGTCAAAGTCCTTGGATAAATCCAGTGAGAAAACCTGAATGTCATAGGACTTGGCCAACACAAGATAGGAAGGACCTTTGGCCAACTCTTCCAAGAGGTTCAGATCTACTTTCTATAGGCTCACTACCCAAGCATCTCCTTGCTACCCCTGACCTGCCCCACTGGAGTCCTAGGCTGATTCCTGGTTGGTGAAGAAGACCTGGCCTGGGCTCTCCAACACCAGCCACTTCCACCCTGGTCTCAGTCTCCTCCACACTCCTGGCACCCGAACCAGCACCTGCAGCAGCCTCCTCTGAGCCACTCATCCACAGCACATGCCCAAGCAGCTCAACCAGGTCAACCACAACCCCCCACCAGGGCACACTTGGCCTGAGAAACTGGAGGAAAGCGGGAGGTTCAAGGGAGAGTGAAGAGCCAGGCACCCATCAGGGCTCTTAGCCAGTAGCACGCAGCCTTTCCTGGATTCATTGCCCACAGCAGTTGAAAGGAGTAGCTCTGAACACCATGCAACTGTGCTCCTTACCCACCCTACACATAACTGAATGGAACAGGATGGACATCTTCCCCACCCCAAGGACCCTAGGGCAGTGTCCACTTCTTGGATTTTGGGATCACCTAGACAGGGAGTGGTTGTTTGAGTCAGCTTTTCTGTTGCTGTAACCAAAAGACCTGACAAGAATGATGTAGAGAAAGAAAAAATTATTTTGGTTCATGGTTTCAGAGGTCTCAGTCCATGGGTGGCCAACGTCATAGCTCTGGACCTGAAGTGGGGCAACATCACAGGAAAGCAGCTCAGAACGTGGCAACAGGAAGGCGGGGGAAGAGAGAGATCCACTCACTAGGGACAAAATATAAATCCCAAAYGCAGGCCCGCAGTRACCTACCTCCTCCAGCCATTCCCCTCCTGCCTACAGCTTTCCCTCAAGTGGATTAACACACTGATTAGGTTAAAACTCTCACAACACAATCTTTTTACCTCTAAATTTTCTTGTGTTGTCTTATCTAAACAATAACAGTAGCCAACCACCCAATGAAGCTGTCCTGTTGAAGAAGCTGAGCTGAATCGGAGAACTGGTGGCAGAACATTAGGGTTAACATGGGCCTACAACCTCTTGTTGCTGCAGGCTCCAGGGCCACCCCTCTCCTCCCTTTCCTGAGGTCTGATAGTCACCTCTTTCTAGGCATGTCAGCTTTCCATCACTATAATAAGATATCTGAGGCAATTAACTTATAAAGAAAAATGGGTTATTTTGACTCCTGCTTCTGGAGAAGCATCAACATCAGATGGCCCCATTGCTTTGGGCCCCTGGCAGGGATAGCTCATCGTGGCAGGAGCATGTGGTAAAGCAAAACCACGTATATCATGAACCAGGAAGCGAAGAGAGGACGAGGAAGACTGGGATCCCACAATCCCCATCAAGCACCCACCCTCAACGACCTCAGGAGCTCCCTATAAGGGGTTCCCCCACCTCCCAGAGCACCACCCTGAGGACCAATCCTTTAAGGTCTTCAGAGGACATTTAACCTCCAAACCACAGCACTGGGATTCCTTGAGTGTCCCCCGCTGCCCTCTCTCTCAATAATCTATAAAGTTTGGGTCAATGTGAGTGGATTCTGGCCCCTGGCCCCAAAGCCTCTTTAGCTAAGATGGGGTTCTGCAGGAACGAGAGCCTGGAGTAGGGATCCAAGGTCACRCGTTCCTATGTTCAGGTCTTTGGAACTTGCAGAGTGAAATAAATTAATGTTTAAATCAGGTGGTTCTCTCCAGTTCCTAAGCATGGAATCCATTCCATTCTGTTCAATAGGTGTTCATGGAGCGCCTACTCTGTGCCTGGCACTGTGCTTTGTGCCAGGGAGGTAAAGACAGGCAGCAGGGGCTGTTGTGGGCTCACAGTATCCAGGGAGTTACAGTCACAGAGAAGTCACTGCATGGTATCATAAAAGCAGTGATGGAAGCATGTATGAAGTCAGTGGTAACCAAGGTGGCCAAGGGAGAGTCACGGTAAAGCCAAGGGAAGCCTAGGGACCATGGCGTGGAGTCACCCAGTAGCACCGTGTCCTGGAGGGTGTTAGCAGTAGTGCTGAAATGGGGGGTGGGGATCCCAGACTTTAGGACGGATGGGCTTGCTGAGAAATGGTGGTGGGGTCCCCTGGAAGAGGTGATTAGAAGTGAAAAATGAGCCCACTTCTATTTTTTTTTCTGGGCAGACTGGGAAATGGCCTCTAAAGACAATGGACAAAGATAATAGCATCATAGAAAAGTCTAAAGCTAAACCATTTGACCCAGCTATCCCTCTCCTCTGACTATACCCAAAGGACTTAAAAACAGCATACTGCAGAGACACAGCCACATCAGTGTTTACATCAGCACAATTCACAATAGCTAAAATGTGGAACAAACCTAGATGCCCTTCAATAGATGAATGGATAAATAAAATGTGGTATATATACCCAATGGAATATTACTCAGCAATAAAAGAGATTAAAGTCATGGCATTTGCAGGTAAATGGATGGAGTTAGAGAAGATAATGCTAAGTGAAGTAAGCCAATCCCAAAAAACCAAATGCCAAATGTTTTCTCTGATATAAGAAGGCTGATTCATAGTGGGATAGGGAGCAGGAGCATGGGAGGAATAGACAAACTCTAGATAGGGCAGAGGGGTTGGAGGGGAAGGGAGGGGGATGGAGTTTAAAATGATGGTGGAATGTGATGGACATTATTATCCAAAAAACAGGTATGAAGACACAAATTGGTGTAATATATTGTGTATACAACCAGAGATATGAAAAATTGTGCTCTATATGTGTAATATGAATTGTACTGCATTCTGTTATCATATATAATTAAAAAAAAAAAAAAACAAAGATCCTATGGGGGGAAAAAATCTAAGGCTGAGAAGTTTAGGTGCCCTTGTGGCAATGGGCTATGGTTAGAGTGAGAGGTAGTCTTTTCTCAATCGAGCCACGTTCCAGAACAAACCATAGGACTCAGAAGATGATAGAGAGTGTTTATTTAATAGATATTTCTTGAAGGCAGACTATATCATAGGTACATGGTTCGTGCCTCACAGACGAGTGAATATGGACATTAATCACATAAGTTACAAAAATAAATGTAAAAATAAACAGTGCATGAAGGAAAAAGTATGGTGAGCTCTGAGTGGAAATGAGACCTGAGAAGACTCCACAGAGCAGGGGCCCCTGAGCCAAGATTCAAATGACCAGTAGGAGAGAACTGGTGAAAAGAAGAGGAAAGGGGTAAACTGTAATTTAATTGTGTTATGGATTTGACATTCAGATAGATATACAGACAAAGAAAAAGGAGGAGAGGCACAGAAAACAAGAGTCACAAGCTCCAAGGGGGTCAGGAGGAAGATTTTGAGAAGACAGTGACCACTCCTGTGACTCTCTTCACTTCTTCTTCTCTCCATTTCTGAAACTCACTGAAATTCATCTCCATACCAATAAACAAGTTCCCTCCCTTTATCCATTCATTCTTCCCTTCATCCATCCATCCACCACCCCACAGATGCCCAGGCCGTGGTAAGCCAGGTCCTATGCCAGCACCCAGTGACCCAAAGAGTCTATAACTTAATAGAAATTCTACTGCTRGCATTTTCTTACAATTGTTTTGACTCTCTGCTTGGATATAAGGAAAAGAGGACAAAAAAGTAACTGTGCTAATCAAAATGCAGGAACAATAAAACTCTAAAAAGAAATCAGGGCCTCTCAGTACGCTGATCTCTCTGTCCACAATTGCTGAGGAAAGGTGTGGTGGGAGAGGCCAAGATGTCCAAGTGCCACTGAGCCTTTTATAGGCAACCCTTACATAAAATAGGCTCTATTTGATACAAATGAATCTAAGATACAAATCTCTAAGAACGAGCCACACACTGATTTATATCATTTATGAAATAGTCCATTTCTTTACAATAAGGCTGTTTTCATAGAAAACGGTAGAGGACTTTGAGACAGTTGCACCCACTCTCATGCTGAGCATCTGGCCCCAGGGATTGCCCTCCTTTCATTCTAGACTTGGTCTTCAGGGATTTCTTGACGTGGCTGCTGCTGTCATTCCAGATTCGGAGGTCACACCTACCTCCAGGGAAGTCTGAGAATTCCTCAAACTGGAGGCTGCAGATGCTCTGAGAACAAACTGGTTTATACTTTGAATCCCCATGTTAGCAAAACAAGTTATAGCATCATTGTTTTTGTTTTGTTTTGTTTTTCTGCAGTGTGCATTTAAAAAATTTCCTTCAATAAACAGGGATTACATTGATAGTAAGGAAAATATAAACATTTCTTAAAGACTGTTTAAGCTAATGTTTAGGCACTGTACACCTGTAATCCCAGCTACTTCAGAGGCTGAAGCAGGAAGATCACAAGTTCGAGGCCAGCCTTGGCAACTTAATGAGACCCCGACTTAAAATAAAAACTAAAAAGGGCTGGGGATACAGCCCAGTGGTAGAGCATTCCTGGGCTCAATCCCCAGTACAGAAAGAAAGAAAGAAAGAAAGAAAGAAAGAAAGAAAGAAAGAAAGAAAGAAAGAAAGAAAGAAAGAAAGAAAGAAAGAAAAGGGTTGCCTGGGGTGGAGTGTAGTTCCGAGGTGCAGCTCTGGGATGGCCCCCAGCACTGCCAAAACAAACATACAAACAACCTAAACCGGAAAAGAAGGGTAGCCGGGCTGGGGCTGGGGCTCAGAGGTAGAGCGCTCGCCTAGCACATGTGAAGCACTGGGTTTGATCCTCAGCGCCACATAAAAATAAAATAAAGATATTGTATCCACCTATAACTAAAAAAATAAATATATAAAAAAAGAGAAGGGTTGCCTATAAAATGATCCTTCTCCATCTTAGGTGAAAAACAAGCCCTTTCCTCCCCTACTGGTCCCCTGTCCCAGGGGTGTGAGACTGCTGCTTCCTCCCTAGTCCCAGCACTGCCCTCAGGCTACCAGCCCATCTCTACCTCCTTTGCACCAGCATCACTTCAGAGGGGGTGGGACAGGGGTATGTGGCTTTCTTGCTGTATTGATAAGGAGGGGCCACCCCTATCAAAGGATATGATCAAAGGATACGAGCTAAGCCACTTTAAAATAAATAACAACATATTCACATTCATGACACCTTCACAGATGTGGTACCCAGAGGATTTCAGAGAACCCTTCATAGACTTGTCTTCCACACCCACACAGCAGCCCTGAGAGGTAGGTCAGTTTTGTTCCCTTCTGCGTGATGGGTTGTGCGCAGAATTCGGCACAGGGAACAGAAAGTCCACAGTGAGGTCTCCAGCCCCCCACCTAGCCTTAAGATGAGTACCCGAAGCCCTGAGGAACAAGGAGCCTGTGTGATGGGCAGCAGAATCGACAGGTCGGAACAAACAGGCCCCAGGATGCAGCCAGACAAAGCACTGGGCTGTCAGAAGGCTGGCTATTTCTGACTTGCCCTAGTTAGGGCCACCCTTCCCAGGATCGTTTTATAATCACAAGGTCGTTTGACGTTCTGCAATGTGACATCTGTAGGACGCTGCTGAAAATAACCTTGGTTTTTTTCATGCTTTTTGAGCTTTGAGGAAAAGCTCAGGTGAAGCTTTAAAAGAGGCCGTAGATGCAGCTTTCCTGACATCGCTGCTGCCCACGTGTCCACGGCAGCAGCAGTTACATTTGCAACTTGGGGCAGAGAATAGGTTTGAAGACTGTCTGGACATTTTCCATCAGGACAAGATCATACCGACATAACTGGGGCCTGGGAAAACACGACAGAAATACCCTTGTCAATAAAATCATAGCAATACCACGTTCTTGTCAAGTCAATTGCATTATATCCTTAGGATATAAAATTATGCAGCAGATGTTTCTAATGGAATCGGAAAAACGCTTCATCCACAGCCAGAAAGCAGAACATAAAATGTTATCCCCATCTGACTTCAACTAGGTTTAAAGCAATGATAGAAATAACCAAAACTGTTAACAGCGGTTACCTCTGAATGACATTAGGAGTGATCTTTTTCTGCTTCCTAACACTTTCTGTACTTTCCAGATTTTATAAAATGGGCATGTTATCTCTTTGAAAATTAGGAAAGTACAAAAAAAATCCCACCATTTTAAGATATAATGACTATTCTCTTAGAGGAAATTTGTATTAAATATTTTAGGGTGTCCTTAACCTTCAAGAAAAAGTTACTGGTTACATCATTTCCTGTCTCTTTTTCCGCCCACAGATTAAAAGTTAAGACCATATGGTAGAGTGGTATTTATCACAAAACATACAAATATAGCCCTGTACTTAAAAAAAAAAAATCCTCTCTCTCTCTTTATGCACATGCATTCACTTTTTCTGAACCCGTTGATAATAGGTTGTTTGCTCCTCAATATTTCTTAACACTTCTGTGTGTATTTTCTAAGAATAAGGAGATTCTCAATGCATTTATCAAATTTAACAAACATAACATTGACATTGTCAAAGGGAAAAAAATCCAATTTTTCTTTAACCTTATATATATTCATCTCTGTTTTCTCAGTCTGCTGAATGATACAAAATTTCTTTTCTACAACAAACTGTCAACTACAAGGAACACGGGTGGTTAGGGAGGAAATTATGTAACTCTAAGCATATAACACCATTATTTCCTTGGGTTACTGGGCCATTTATCTTTAAGCACATGCCAGTATAAATTTCTTGGATTACTGAGCAACTTGTTTCAAATGGAGACTATTTTTGGAAAACCCCTAACTCCCCTCCCTGTGAATGAAGAAGTTCCATTAAAATATCTGAAGAAGCCGAGGATCCAATAAAATCTTTGGTAAACCTTGCCTGAGGCTCACCTCTCTGGATGGACAAGGGACCTCAACCTAATTCGGAGGATCCTGAGCTTGTACTTAGGACCTATTACAGATCCTGTAGAGAACACCAAGGAAATTGTTGCCACTTTGTCCAGATCTTGATTAAATCTTGCAAGCAGGCTCACTTGATGATATTTCTGAAATGTGGCTGGTTCACTGGAAAGAAGAAATAACATTTAGAAATGAGTATAGATGACTAAGGAGAGAAAGCAGCTCTGCAGCCTGCAAATCATTGGTACACAGGCTACTACTTGGCCCCATTTCCTGCACTTGCTGAATTTCATGTCCACCAAGTCCAGGCAACTGCCTAARTGAATCTACTTACCCCAAAGTGACATCAGAGAAGAATGCTATTTACTGTGCACCAAGCAGTGTGCTCCTGTCTTTATTTATTTATTTACTTATTTTGGGGGGTACCAGGGATTGAACCCAGAGGAGTTAACTACTGAGCCACATCCCAGGACCCCCCCCCTTTTTTTTTAGAAAGAGAGAGAATTTTAATATTTATTTTTTAGTTCTCGGCGGACACAACATCTTTGTTTGTATGTGGTGCTGAGGATCGAACCGGACCGCACGCATGCCAGGCGAGCGCGCTACCGCTTGAGCCACATCCCCAGCCCCACCTGGACCCCTTTTTCTAAAAATTATTTTTTTAGTTGTAGTTGGACACAATGTCTTTATTTATTTATTTTTATGTGGTGCTGAGGCTCGAACCCAATGCTTCACATATGTGAGGTAAGCGCTCTCCCACGGAGCTACAATCCTTGCCCTCCCTAGTCCTTTTTAAAAATTTTTTATTTAGAAAAAGGGTCTTTCTGAGTTGCTTAGGGCCTCACTAAATTGCTGAAGCTGGTTTTGAACTCTCAATGCCTCAGCCTCCCGAGCCGCTGGGATTACAGGTGTGCGAAACTGCACCCAGCTGGTGTCCTCATCTTTTGACACATCTCTCCAATCCCTGAAACATTCTGCAAGGTGGGTATTTTTTTTTCCTATTTTACAAACAGGGCAAAAGCTGCTTGAAGAGCTTAAGTTCCCCACAGGACAGGGGTTACGAACTCAACTCCAAGTTCAAAGTTATGGTCTTTCCATTAAACTGCATTGCTAGAGACACACGGAGATTTCCAGCCAAACTGGACACTAACAGAGAAGTTATCCTTAAGCACGTTTTTTTTTTTTTTAGTCCTGTCTCTCAAGATGAACCTTAGGCTAAATCTGTGTTCTAGTATGTTCCTCAAGTGTGTGAAGATGTTTTCTATACATGGAACCCCAGAGGTCCCAAGAGAAATCACTGGGGAGGTTCAGCACAGTCCTTGTCCCACTGCAGAGCTGGAAGAGGAGGTCACAGAGAGCTGAGGAGTCTCCTAGACTCAGGAACAATGGGCTCACATCAGAAATGATTCTTAATTTGGAGGGTTAGTGATGTAAGCAGGTATCTGTCATCCCAGCCCTAATGGAATCAAGTCTGAGTCTTGAAATACAGAAGGTACCCAGATATACTGGGGGGCATGGGGCATTGAATCCCAGGGTGCATGACCCCTGAGCCACATAGTTGCTTAGAGCCTCACTTAGTTGCTGAGGCTGGCTTAGAACTTGCAATCCTCCTGCCTCAGCTTCCCAAGCAGCTGTGATTACAGGTGTGCACTACCACTTTCAGCCCAGATTTTGGTTCCTAAATACCATCTCCACTAAAAGAAACCAGGGTTTCCTGGAGAAAGAGTTGACTCCCAGGCTGGGGCAGGGAAAGTGCAAGGTGATCCTAAGACAGTCTGTGTGCCCAAAAGGAAGGAAGTGCTTCAGAGAATGATGAAAACATTCCATAGGTATAGAATCACTTCACACCCATTAGGACGACAGGTGTTGGTGAGGATGTGGAGAAATTGGAACCCTGGTGCAGTACCAGTGGGACCAGAAAATGATGCAATAGTCATGGGAAATGGGATGACAGCATGTCAAAAATAGAATTACCACATGGGCCAGACATTCCACTTTAAATATCCAAAATAATTCAAAGCAGGCACAAGCATCCATCAATAATTGAATGGGTAAACAAAACATGGTCGATACATATAATGGAATCATATGCAGCCTTAAAAATGAAGGAAATTCTGTCACATGCTACAATATCAATGAACCTTGAGGATACTATACTAAGTGAAATAAGCCAGTCACAAAAAGACAAACACTGTATTGATTCCTCTTGTGTGAGCTATCTACTATTGTCCAATTCATAGAAAGAGAAATAATAGTGTTTACTAGGGGCTTGGAAGAGTAAGGAAAGGGGAGTTGTTAATGAGTACAAAATTACTGCTTTGCAAAATGAAAAAAAATCTAGAGATCTGTCTCATGACAACATGAATACACTAACTACTGAACGGTACACCAAAAATTGATTAAAATGATAAACTTGGCCAGGTACAATGGCACACACCTATAATCCCAGCTACTTGGGAGGCCAAGACAGGAGGATCACAAGTTCAATGCCAACCTCAGCTACTTAGTAAGATTGTCTCAAAACAAAGCATAAAAAGGGCTGGGGATAGAGATGCAAAGATGGTTTAATATATGCAAATCAATAAATGTAATTCATCATATAAATAGAACTATGAACAAAAATCACTTGATCATCTAAATAGATGCAGAGAAAGCTTTTGAGAAAATTCAACACCCATTCATGATAAAAACATTGAAAAAACTAGAAATAGTAGGAACCTACCTCAACACCATAAATCACACACACACACACACACACACACACACACACACACACACACACGTCAATTTCGTAGTAAATGGGGGGAAAAATGAAAGTGTTTCCTTTAAAATCTGGAACAAGACAAGATGTCCACTCTTTCCACTTATATTAATATAGTACTAAAAATTCTAGCCAGAGCAATTAGGCAAGAGAAAAAAATAAAAGTAACAAAAATAGAAAATGAAGAAGTCAAATTATCCCTGTTTGCAGATGATACAATCCTATACCTAGAAGATCCAAAACACTCCACCAAAAGACTGCTAGAGCTAATAAACAATTCAGCAAAGTAGTAGGTTACAAAATCAACATACAAAAATCAATAGCTGAGCTGGGCACAGTGGCGCATGCCTGTAATTCCAGCATTCGGGAAGTTGAGACAGGAGGATCCCAAGTTCAAATCCAGCCTCAGCAACAGCAAGGCACTAAGCACCTCAGTGAGGCCCTGTCTAAGTAAAATACAAAATAGGGCTGGGATGCGGCTCAGTGGCCAAGTGTGCTGAGTTCAACCTCTGGTACCAAATAAATAAATAAATAAATGGCTGGGACGTAGATCAGTGGTAGAGCACTTGCCTAGCACATGTGAGGCACTGGGTTCTGCTGGGGTTACCAGCACCCCGACAGAGCAGATTTCTGCTTTGAGGGAAAATAAAAAGTCTGAAAATAATAAGAAACAGAAGATAATAGACAGAAAATAGTTTTTTAAAAGCTGGGTGCCTGGTGGGTCTTCCAGCCCTGATAGGAACAGGAACTGAACAAAGAAGAAGGTCCAAATTTTTTATTTAAGGGAAATACATCAAAAGGTTTCACTGTGGCAAGCTTCTTGAGGAAAACAGGATAAAGATGTGAAAAGCAACTTGTTTGGAGCAAGGGAGGTTACACTCACCACCACCACCCCGCCCCCCACCCCAGGGGCTGCATTTGAACATAGGGCTGTGAGCTAAGGTACATGTCAGCTGTAATCTGAACAATCGGCAACAGGTAGATTCACACCAGGAGTTCTCAKAAAAGCAACCTCCACACACACAGCCCACCCCACACCCTCCACACCCCCACTCTCCACCCACCCCCTGCCACCTTGTAATGGCTCAAATGAACCTGTAATTCATACATGGCTTCCAACACTCAGCACCACATAGATAAATAAAAGCATTGAGTCCACCTACAACTAAAAATAATTTTTWAAAAAAAAAATCAATAGCTTTCTTATATATCAACAATGAATCTGCTGAGAAAGAAATCGGGGAGGGGGGGAATCCCATTCACAATAGCTAAAAAAAAAAAAAAAAAAAGGAATAAATCTAACCAATGAGGTGAAAGACCTCTACAATGAAAACTATAGAACACTGAAGAAAGAAATTGAAAAAGATCTTAGAAGATGGAAAGACCTCCCACGCTCATGGATAGGCAGAATTAATACTGTTAAATGGCCATRCTACCAATACTAGAAGCAATACACAGATTCAATGCAATCCCCATCAAAACACCAATAATATTGTTCACAGAACTAGAAAATACAGTCTTAAAATTCATTTGGAACAATAAAAGACCCAGAACAGTCAAAGCAAGTCTAAGTCAAAAAAGCAATGCTGGAGGTATCACAGTATCTGACTTTAAATTACACTACAGAGCTATAGTAACAAAAACTGTATTTCACTGGCATAGAAAGAGACACATAGACCTATGGCACAGAATGGAAGACACAGAGACAACCCCACACATCTACAGTCAGCTGGTCCTTGAAAAAGGTGCCAAAAACATACAATGGAGAAAAGACAGCCTCTTTAATAAGTGGTGCTGGGAAAACTGGTTATCCATCTGTAGAACAATGAAACTAGACCCCTATCTATCACCCTACACAAAAAGCCAACTCAAAATGAATCAAAGACCTAGGAATTATACTAGAAACTAGGCAACTCCTAGAAGAAAATATATAGTCAGCACTCCAATGTGTAGGCATGGACAATGAATGACTTTCTCAATAGGACCCCTAAAGCTTAGGGAATAATGACAAGAGTTAATAAATGGGATGGAATCAGATTAAAAAACTTTTTCACAGGAAAGGAAAACAAGAATATGAAGAGTGAACTTACCGAGTGGGAGAAAAATCTTTGCTAGCTACACTTCTGACAGAGGATTAATATCTAAAATATATAAAGAACTCAAAAAAATGTAACACCAAAAAAACCAAATTAATAAATGGGAAAATGAAGGCAATAGACACTTCACAAAAGAAATATAAATGGCCTACAAGTATATGAAAAAAATGTTCAACATCATTAGCAGGGAAATGCAAATCAAAACTGTACTGAGGCCCGGCTCAGTGGCAGACGCCTGGCTCAGTGGCAGACGCCTGTGATCCCAGCGGCTCGGGAGGCTGAGATGGGAGGATCTCGAGTTTGAAGCCAGCCTCAGCAACAGCAAGGTTCAAAGCAAATTAGTGAGACCCTGTCTCTAAATAAAGTAGAAAATAGGGCTGGGGATGTGGCTTAGTGGTTAAGTGTCTCTGAGTGCAATCCCCAGTACCACCCCCCTAAAAAAACTACACTGAGATTTCATCTCATACCAGTCAGAATGGTAGTCATCAAGAATACAAACAATAGGGGCTGGGGATGTGGCTCAAGCGGTAGCGTGCTTTCCTGGCATGTGTGCAGCCCGGGTTCGATCCTCAGCACCACATACAAACAAAGATGTTGTGTCCACCAAAAACTAAAATATTAAAAAATTCTCTCTCTCTCTCTCTAAAAAAAAAAGAATACAAACAATAATAAATGCTGGAGAGGATGTGGAGAAAATAGAACACTTTACACTGTTGGTGGTATTGTAAAGTAATACAACCACTAGGAGATTCCTCAAAGGACTAGACATGGAACCACCATATGACCCAGCTATACCACTCCTTGGTATTTATCTTGAAGAATTAAAGTCATCATACCATAGTGATACATGCAGACCTCTGTCATAAAGAAAAATGAAATAATGTAATTTCAGGAAAATGGATGGAACTTGAAACCATTATGTTAAGGGAAATCAGCCAAAGACAGAAGGTCAAGGGTCATATGTTTTCTCTCATATAAAGCCAGAGAAGAAAAAGGAAAAGAAAGATGAGAGGTGATCTCATGAAAATAAAAGGAGATTAGTAGAGGAAAAGGACTAAGGGGTGAGAGGAGGGAAATAAGGAGGAAATCTCTGTGGAGGATATTTGCCAAATTATATTGCTATATTGTGTATGTATACTAATATGTAACAACAAATCCCACCATTATGTACAACTGTGTGCCAATAAAAAAGACAAAAAAGTTCACATGTCCTTAAAAACAAAAACAAACAATAGGCTGGGGATGTGGCTCAGTGGCAAAGTGTCCCTGGGTTCAATCCCTAGTACCAAAACCAAACCAAAACAACAACAAAAAAAAAGATGGTAAAGTTTATGTTATTTGTGTTATGCATCTTTACCACAATAAAAAAAATTAGACAAAAATAAGTGCTGGCAAGTGTGTGAAGAAATTGGATCCTTATACATGGCTAGTGGAGATGTGAAATAGGACAACTGTTTTGGAACACAGTCTGACAGTTCTTCAAAATACTAAACATAGAGTTAGAACATGGTTATAGAAGTAATAGATTTTTTTAAAGTGCTAATTATTTTAAAACTTTAAAAAATTAGACACACCATCATAGAAAACTGAAGACTAAAGAGAACTTTAAAAAAAAAAAAACAGTTATAGAGTCTCACTATCCAAATAACAATATAATATTTTGGCAAGTTTCTTTTTTATTACTTTTACATGGTAGAGCTAATTTAAATCTTTATATAATTCTATATTCTACATTTTTTTTACTTGGCATATTATAAGCTTTCATGTAATACATATCATAAAACTTCAATATATGAATAATATTCTATTACATGAGAATATTTAATAATTTCCCCATTGCTGAATTTTAAGGGTGTCTTTGACTTTTTTACTGCAAATTATATTTTGAGTTTCAAAAACATATATATGTACATGTTATATTTATGTCATATACATTTCTACTTGTATAGCTCATAAAAGGATAGGCATATGTATGTGGTGGGTGCCTTTGGACTTTGGAGGTGGGCCTATTGGGGGGAGTGGGTGAGAACTTGTACTTTTATGTGGCATACCCCTTTATGTTTTTTATTTGTGTGTTTTTGTTTTTTAGTACTGTGAATTACCCAGCTGTGATTTATCACTGAGCTATATTGTTATGGTTTAGAAATGAGGTATCCCCCAAAAGCTCATGTATGAGACAATGCAAGAATATTCACAGGTGAAGTGATTAGATCATGAGAGTCCTATCCTATGGATTAACTGGGTGATAACTGTAGCCACACAGAGTATGGCTGGAAGAAGTAGGACACTGGGGATGTGGCTTTTGAGGTTATATTTTTTCTCTGGTGAGCAGAACTCTCCTGCTTCCTGGCTGCTGCATCCTGAGCTACCTTCCTCCACCATGCCCTTCCAACATGAATTTCTGCCTCATCTTGGGCCCCAAACTATGGCGCTGGCCTATGGTGGACTGAACCTCTGAAACCATGAGCCAAAATAAACTTTTCCTTCTTTAAGTTGTTCTCTTTTAGGTCTTTTTGTCACAGCAATGCAAAACTGACTAAAACATACATCCCCAGCCCTCTTCAGTTTTTGAGACAGRGTTTCAATAAGTTGCTGAGGGCCTTGCTAAGTTGCTGAGGCTTGCCTCAAACTTATCAGCCTCCTGCCTCAGCCTCCAGAGTCAATTGGATTATAGGTGTCCACCACCATTCCTGGCCATTTATAGTTTTAAAATGGATTATTTTATATTGAAAAATCATTATTGTATATACCTATGGGGTACAATGTAAGGTTTTGATACATGTATATAAAATGTGGAATGATTAAATCATTGTAGTTATTTGAACCTTTATAGTAAGCAAGAAAAACTTTTGTAATTAAATGTTCAACCAGAGGAAGAATTAGAAGAGAAAAAGGGATTGTGGCAGGAAAGGAAGAAGGTAAAGGAGGGAAGGAGGAAGAAAGGAAGGAAGAAATCACTTGTGCCAATACATTTGTAGAGAGCCTGAGAGATCAAGAGCAGGGAAAGCAAGTAAACAACATGTCCCCTTATATTTTTGGCAGGACAAGGGAAAGCACAGACCTATAAATAAGAAAGTAGGTATATCTGGGATTTAATTTCTCAAGCCAAGAAGAAAATAGCAAATGGCAAACTATTGCAGCTCAACTTACTGATCGATTTTAGATTCTGTGGTATTTCCATCTCTGTCTCTTAATTTGATTGTAATAGACCCTCTTCTGATGTTCTTGTTCCAAGATATAATGTCCACAAAGTAATGATACACTGCAGAACAGGGAGAGAACATAATAAGAGAGAGGTAGCCCCAAATGCTTCCCTGGAGGGCCGACTCCTGAAAGCCCAACATCCCTAATAATTGAGTTTCCTTTTCTCTTCCTCTGAAGTTTCTCTGAAAAGATCTGGGGCAATATTTTCTATTGTTCTTTTTTTCTTCTCTTTGGCAAAAATGGCATGAGTGACATCAGAGTTCACTGGGACCCAGTCACCATGGTCAGGCATCCCAGGTTCCCACCAAATGGACTAAGGTCTCCTGGCTTATGGCTACATGTGATTGGTTCACTTCCATCCAGCCCATCTTATGCTAAAATGATCAAGTTGCCACTTGGAGACACTCCATGGCCAACAAGGTCTTCCATAATTTGAGTCATGTCCACTTCCTACCTGGTACACCTTGAAGTCTCCTTCCTACCTCTGCATGCCACCCATACCTCCTGCACTACCAAGCTCTCTCTTGCTCTTTTTATAATCCCTGAAGTAAATCTTATAGGCACGCAATAATTCCTCCTGAATAAATGATACACAATGCATTCTTCCTTACTATTTGCTCTTCAAGGTCAAGTATGTTTGGGGAAGATAGGGATCTCTACGTGACAGGCAGATTTGCTCTTTCTTGGTCAGACTTGCAAGGAAAGTGAAAGAGATTCGGGAAGATGATGGTTCCATGAAGATAAGGCCAGCTCTGGAATGTCCTTTCATGGCCCTTATTGCTCAGGGGATTGCCCCGTAGAGACCAGGCAGATGCCCAACCCTGGGCTACCATGTATGGCTCCAAAGAAAGAGGGAAACCCAGGGATATGCTAGTCATTTAGGACAGTTGCTCCCAAGAAAAGTGATAAGGAGTAAAAGATTGCAAGGAAGGCCTGGCATGGGGGCACATGCCCGTGTTACCGGTGGCTGGAGACTGAGGCAGGAGGATCACAAGTTCAAAGCCAGCTTCAGCAATTTAGCTAGGTCCTTAGCAACTTAGACCCTGTCCCAAATTTTTAAAAAAGGGGGATCTGGGGATGTGGCTCAGCTCAGTGGTTGAGCACAACAACAATAAAAGAAAAAAGATTGCAAGAAACGCATACATCTTCCCAGGCAAATCCTGACGGCACACAGAGCATTTAATCAACTGCTATCCTAATGAGCTTCCATCTGGAATACTCAACCTCTTGATGTCTTGAATTTCTCATGTTGCTGTAGAGCTAGGACTGACCCGTAAGATGTGCCTGCCACCTTAGTTTTCCTAGCCCCAATGTCCATCATGTCTCTTCAGGAATCAAGTGATTTCCTGGAAGATCTTAGTGGTTACTATGGCCACTGGTGATGCWAGCAACACTGATTTATTGATGTTGTAATCCTAATAGCCCAGAAGATAGGCATTATTATCTCCACTTAGCCAACAGGACCCTGAGATCCACAGAGGTTAGAAGACCTGACCAAGGTCTCACAGCTATTATGTGATAGAATCAGGATTCTACCTAGGCCCTTCCAGCTTCAAACTCCAAGCTTTACCACGTCCTTCATTTGCCAAGAAGCAGCCAGGAAGCTGAGACTCAACCTCCCCACAATAAAAGGGTCAGTCAAACACTGTTCACCACTCACTGCAGAATGGCTCCTTCTCAGCTGTGTCAAAGAACGCCTTAGTCATCGGAGGATCTTTCTGCTTTAAGTAGTCTTTCCAATTGTCAGCATAATAGCCTATAAAACAAGTTGGAAAAGCGTAACGTGAACACGGGTTACATAAACATGAAAGCGGCAAAGGGTGAGCACACTGAGACACCTGCAGCCACCACAGTGACAACCTGCCAGCGCCATGTGAGCACTGCAGGGTCCAGGACAGTGTCACCCCAGTGACCACCATTCTTGCCAGTTGTYTCCATCCCTAAGAGCTGGGGTGCAGAAGGACCCTACCATGGCTTTGACCTCTTTACTGGCTCTCAGTTAACCTGGTAGGGGGACGGGGAGCAGCACACTGTTTTGGACTAAAAATAGGACTAATGTTTTACAGTAATACATTCATTTTCTACATTAAAACAGATTTAGGTTTAGACCTAAAATAGCATCATTATTGCAAAGCAAGGTGCTTTTTTATTTTCCATTTTTGGGGGGTTGGCAGTTCTTGAAATAGAACCCAGGGCTTCATGCATGCTAAGCACATGCTCTACCACTGAGCTGCGCCCCCAGACCCTGGGCTTTCTTGAAAAACGTTTTATTATTACAGAATGTTGTACAGAATGTGGGCTTGCCAGATAACTATGTCACCAAGCAGGTGAATGTCTCCCTTTATATCTATGTCTGCAGGAGACAAGGTCGGGTACTGTTCTACGACCTCTTTCTTTCCTCTGTCTTCACTGCCAGAAAATGGCCTCCAGACTCTGACTTAATTGATAGGGAATAGGACACAGACACCGGTATTAAATATATATATTTAATTTTCCTTTTAGGAAAAATCAGAAAATCCTCATGGATTTCAAAATTTTAACCACCTAGGATATTTCCACCAACCCCTAACAAATATCCAAGCAGTACCCATGGCATCTTTGAGCCCACCCCAGCCCTGTATACCCACAAGAGCCAGAGGATGGAGTGAGGGCATCCCCCACCCCAAACCCCGTAGTGGAATTGAACTAGGGCACTCTACCACTAAGCTACATCTCCAGCTCTTTTTACACCTTATTTTGAGGCAGGCTTTCACTAAGTTGCCTAGTCTGGTCTTGAACTTTTAATCTCCTGTTTCAGTCTCCCAAGTAGTTGGGATTGCAGATATGATCCACCATGCCCAGCTGACAGTAAGGGCATTTATGGACACTAGTTAAAAGGGACCACTCAGCTATGTCATCTGGCAGAAGGTCTCTGTCTCACTGTGGAGGGTCCACAGTGAGAGGTCGTGTGCACAGAGAGGGTGTTCCAGCCCTCGCAGGAGCAGGCTGTGCTCTGGATAGGCTGGGCTACCTGCTGGGTGGAATCCTACACAGATTGYTCTTCTACCAATTTTTGTAATTAGGAGACTAGAAAGTTGGCTCAAAAAAGCTGCCTAGACTGTTTTATGGGTTTTTAAAATTGTTGTTGTTTTTAGAAAACAATTTTGGAGCCATTTTTAGATAGCAAAATGGTTCTGGGATTTGTACCAAAAATTTGTACCAAAGCAGAGGGGGAAACCGCTTTGGACCTACCCAGGACGGGACAGGACTGCTCTGGTGTGCCGCAGCTGGTGCACTTGCCGTTCCTGTAGTCCCTGTAGGAGTCACAGGGATAGGCGGTGATCTCACAGTCCTCTCTCAGGGAAGCCAGGTACAGGTACACGGACCTCTGGTGGTCACACTTGAAATACTTTATTCCTTAGTTGGAAAGGGAGTGATTCAAGGGTAGAGCAGTAGAAGCATTTAAAAGAAGAACATCACATGCTTTACACACACAATTTCTCATCTCCTGCATGGCTCTGAAAGCTCCAATGTACTTGATCCCATTCAGTCCTTACAAAAAGCCATACATAAGGATTCATGCTGGCAGGTGGCAGAAGAAAAGATGACATTAAATTAAGGTTGTGACAGGAGTTAAAGCAAATATACTTTAATTAAATATCGTAGGGCCAGGGGTATAGCTTGGAGTAGCTAGAACAGGTGCCTACCATTTGTGAGGCCCTGGGTCTCCTCCCCAGCACACAGAAAACAAACAAAAACAAAAACAAAAAAATAATGTCACTGTTAAATACATCCATTAGATTTCATCACATACAGTCTTTTATCTCGAATAACTTGACTCTGCTTCTCCCAAAATAAGCATTCTTGCATATTTCATTTACTATTGTAGCTTTAAATCTTAGAACAGTGCCAGGCACATGGAAAATTAATACCAAATATTTGGAAGTGCAATCTCCAGCAGGTTCTGCTACACACTGAACCCCCTCTGTCTATTTTTTTTTTCTTTCAGTGTTGGGGATATCCATAGCCTCACGCATGCTAGATAAGAGCTCTACCACTGAGCTACACACCCAGCCCTTCTGAGTAGCTGGGACTATAGATGCAGACCACCCCATCCAGCCTTCTGCCTCATTTCTGCTCAAGGCTTTAACTAAAAGTCTGGTTGTTATGGGTTCCCTCATCTGCTCCAGGTAAGTCCTAATAATCCCAATGACTGCAAAGTCAAAAGCAAGAGAGTAGTTTTGATCACTGCCACATTTTTCATTATGTCAAAAGCAACTGGGCCAGGCTGGGGTTGTGGTTCAGTGGCAGAGCACTTGCCTGGCACATGGAAGGTACTGGGTTTGATTCTCAACACCACATAAAAATAAATAAATAAATAAATAAATAAATAAAGGTATTGTATTTTTAAAAAATCATTTAAAAATTGCACATGTGTGTATTCCTTGAATAAATTTCTTTATGTTAAAATAAATAAATAAATAAATATAAATAAATATTTTTTTTAAAAAAAGCAACAGGTCCTGGCAGTGGACAAAGACCAGACAGGTAAGTAAAGTATCCCAACTTTGTTTCAAATATTTTAAAGCCAGGAACCTATAAATTTTTATAATCACTGTAATAAAACAAAATCAGAAATACTATGGTGGGTAATAATAGCCTAGGTTCTTTATATAATATGTTTCTAGCTCTCACAATCTTGTAAGGGAGGCAATATTAGTGTCATTTTATAGATAGGAAAGCTGAGGCACAGAGAACCTACTAACAAAGGCAGAGTTGGAATTCTGCCACCTGTGGTCTATGGGGCTCTCAGATCTATCTGTTGCACTACTACTAAAGTTCTCAAAATACCGTCTCAGACCAGCTGTGTAAGCATCACCTGGGAATTTATTAGAAATGGACATTATTAGTACTTTCCCCTGAGAGGCTTGCAGCTGTCTGCAGTCTGTGGTTTGGTTTGGTTTGATTTGGTTTGTTGCTGGGACTGAACACAAGATCTTGCACGTGCCAATGTGATCTGTGTTTTAACAAGCTTTCTACATGATTCTGATACATGCTGAAGTTTGAGAACCACTGCTGTGCTGCAGAATAGAAGAGGCTGGGAGTCTACACGGCAGGGCAGAGGGGACGAGGGTGGGGGATGGCACACAGTCTTACATCTTAATCAAGGACTGAGCCTGAGGTTTACTAAGACATTGTAGTTCTTGATGACACATTAGCTGGACCACAGGATGAATTTACCTTCTATCTTATCAAAAACCCAACGGCAGGGTTTTTTTTTTTTGAGAAATCACTCTGCATGGTGAGCCTGCAATGCTCACAACCATAACAGAGGGCCAAGGAACAGGATCAGCTGATATAAAAGGACAGAAGGGAATCAAGAGTTATCTGAGGAGGGCTGGGGGTGTAACTCAGTAGTAGAGCACTTGACTAGCATGCAGGAGGCCCTGGGTTCAATTACCTGCACGCATGTCACACACTTCAAACACACACCCCTCTGAGGAGGAAGATCACATAAGAAAATGGATGAGCCTGGGCTGTAAATCCTCCCACAAGCATCTCCTCCCTGAAATTGACCTCAACTTTAAGTGGGCACCAAAGGGCAGCAGCTTCATGGAAGTGGGTCACTCAAGAGTGAAGTCTTCCTAAACAGGTCTGGGCTGTTGGGTGGAGCAGAGTCCAGGGTGGATAAAAGTCAATTAGATCAGAATCTACCCCTTCCACTTTCATGGTGAATTCTGAACTTGGAAATATAGATAAAATATTTAAGGAAAAAAAGGGAGAGTGAAATGAAAATCAGATGACCCAGCCTGAGGGGAGGTACTTTCAGAGAGCCCTCAAAAGAGTGACCATGGAAAGACCAGCCAGACGACATCACCCGATGACACAGAAGCAAGAAGGGGAGAGTTTTAGTGCGGGCTTAATGGAACCGGAAGACATTAGGTAGTAATTGGTAGGGGAAGCTCCCAAGGAGGGTCAGCAGAGGAGAGCATGTTGGAAAGGGAGGGGGATGCCTCTACCCTGGGTCAGGAGGGAACATGAGGGTGAACACTGGCYGTGTGAACTCAGATGAAGATAGATAAAATGGCTCTCTCAGGTGGGACGAAAGTCCAATCTAGCTCACCTCTAAGAGGTCTGGGGGTACACAGGGCATTCACCATAGCAGCCAAGTGGCAGGGATCTGTGGCCAATGCAAGAATGAAGTGGGAGGGGCTAAATGATAGGAGTGGGCACTAGAAGTCATAAACGGACAAGAAGGACTCAAGTTAGCTCCCAGGGGGTGCCAGSGGGTGCCAGGTGGTGAGACAGGAGGTTGAGGAGACACAGAGATGGGTGTCAAAAGAACTAGAGATAATGAATTACTGATGTCACTCAAAACAGAGGCTTAATTCCACAAAAGGGCAATCAGTGTGGGTAAGGATCTGAAGAGGAAACAGTAACCCCATGAAAAAAGGAGCTGTGGTTGCCAGTGGTTTGGAGAGGCACTGGCTACTGCATCAGATCAGAGCATTTTCTATTCCTCCAGGGTTCACTTGTGCCCATACAACAAATCAGTGAGGAACAGAGACATCAACTGGGGTAAGAAGGAAGAARCATGGGGCTGGCACGGGCCAAGCTGGACTGGAGTCAAACCTGACAAGCCAACATTTATTGTTTTGTTCCTGGAACTTCCTTTTGCAGAAACAATGGAGTTGGGCTGGGGATGTAGCTCAGTGGTAGAGCGGGTTCAGTCCCCTGAACCAAAAGAGAAAAAAGTCATGGAAAAACAGTGGAGTTGATAACAATATGGGGGATGTCCTGTACCAGCAAAGCACATATTCTTTGGCTGTTTGTGGATATGGTTACACTATCTCACAGGATGCAATTTGAACCTCACTATGGTACAACATGGGTATCCCTGAGTGTGCCATTTCAGCCGGATCACTTTCAAACACTATGTCAATCAGCTGGGGCCATAGACAACTACCTTTTCATGCCAAGACCATCCTTTTTCTAGAATCATTTCCATAGTTGTTTGACTTTCTCTAGCAGTGACGAAATATATACTTAGAGCACTAAGGGGTTGGACTTTAAAATCTATCCTCCACCTCACTTTCTTTTTTAAGTTGTAGATGGACACAATACCATTTATTTSTTTGTTTGTTTACTTATTTTTATGTGGTGCTGAGGATCAAACCCAGTACCTCACACATGATAGGCAAGTGCTCCACCACTGAGCTACAACCCCAGACCCTCACTTATTTTTTATTTGTTCTTTTTCGTTATACTTGACAGTAGAATTTATTTTTTACACAATACCTTTACTTTTATTTATTTATTTTTTATGTGGTGCTAAGGATCGAACGCAGTGACTCACACATGCTAGGCAAGTGCTCCACCACTGAGCTACAACCCCAGCCCAGTAGAGTATATTTTGACATATCTATACAAATACAGAGTCTATCTATTATAGTCTATCCTATTCTAATTAGGATTCCAGTCTTGWGGTTGTATATGATGCAGAGATTCACTGTGGTATATTTACATATGTACATAGGTGATATCAGATTCATTCCACTGTCTTTCCTATTTCTGTCCCCCTCTCCCTTCCCTTCATTCCCCTTTGTCTAATCTGCTGAACTTCTATTCTTCCCCTCCTCCCACCTTGTTGTGTGTTAGCAACCACATATCAGAGAGTACATTTGACCTTTGGTTGTTTGGGATTGGCTTATTTCGCTTAGCACAATAGTCTCAAGATTTATCCATTTTTKGGGGCTGGGGATGTGGCTCAAGTGGTAGCGCGCTCGCCTGGYATGCGTGYGGCCCGGGTTCGATCCTCCAGCACCACATACAAACAAGGATGTTGTGTCTGCCAATAACTAATAAATAAATAAATAAATATAAAAAAAAGATTTATCCATTTTTTGGCAAATGTCATAAAGTCATTCTTTTTTATGGTCAATATTCCATTGTGTATATAAACCACATTTTCTGTATCCATTCATCTGTTGAAGGGCACCTAGGTTGGTTCTATAGCTTAACTATGGTGAATTGARCTKCTATAAACATTGATCCCCCACCTCACTTTTAATGTTGCCCTTCAACTCCCTATTTTTTTGTTTTGAGGAGCTAAGTTTGCAATTTATAATTTATATTTAAACCACTGCTATCTTCTCAGAAAAATTTGTTTTCTATTCAAAACTACTCTGTGAAGATAATCAGATTTTTTWAAATTGTGCTTTTCAATCCACTGTTTTACAGAATATAAAGTACCTGCACTTACCTCCAAATATCGTTTGGGGGCAACCAGGTTGATCCAATCCTCCATTTGGATAGAAGTCTATGTTTCCTAGCGGTTCCTTGTAGCCCAGTGCTAAAAGAGAACACACTATGCTTTCACACTGCTTTAACTCATTCACCTCTCATAGCTCATTTGCCTGCCAGACATAGGCAGGATTTGGATCATTATTGTTGTTGTTATATAATTATTGGTAGGGCTGGGGATGTGACTCAAGCGGTAGCGTGCTCGCCTGGCATTCGTGCGGCCCGGGTTCGATCCTCAGCACCACATACCAACAAAGATGCTGTACCCGCCGATAACTAAATAATAAATATTAAAATTCTCTCTCTCTCTCTTTAAAAAAAACAAAGAAAGATATAATTATTGGTATACTTATTTAAATGTTTTTCCCAAAGTTACCAACCCAGTTAGTTAGTTGGAAAGCAGGAAGTAAATTCCACTATCATCCATTCCATTATTAAGTGATTGAGCAAATGGTAATGGAATTTAATTCCACTATTTCTAAAAACATAGGGATTTTGGTTACTCATTCACAGCAATCATATATTTTTTTCCTTACATTTGGCTGGGACCCTCCAATTGTCATGAGCTTTCTGAGCCTCGAATTTGCACTGCACAAATCTTTAATGAATAAGAAACAGGAAAAATTAATTTTTACTTAGGAGGCAAAATTTCTTGAAATTTAGGATCGGGGACAGTAGAAAGTTTAAAAACAATACTAGATAATGAGGTCCTGAAAAATTACAGATTTAATAACTGCTTATTTTCTTTAATCATGTACCCTAAAATAATCAGTTAAATGCTTGATTAAGATATTACTGGGGTTGGGGTTAGAGTGCTTGGCTAGTATGAGGGAGGCCCTGGGTTCTATTCCCAGCACCACTACCAAAAACCAAAAACCCCAAACAAAACCTATTGAAGATTATTGATAATCTGAACGTGGTGGCTCACACCTGTCATCCCAGAACCTGAGGCAGGGGAAATGCTAAAATCAGGAGTTCAAGATCAGCCTGGGCAACAGAGTGAAATCCCTGTCTCAAATAAATGAATGTAAGATTTTAGATCTATACATACACGTGTAATATGCACAGATATACATAGTGCRTCATGGTATTAATCATAGTTATTATAGAGTGAGAACCTGCATGTCTCTGTGGGTATGACAGCGGATGTTTTAAAGAACTTCCTTTCAATGTTCACATGTCTGCACAGTGGCCACTGGTAAATTCATATGAAATAACGATAGAGGCTCAGAAGACTTAAGAAATTAACATGACATCACTAGAAAGAACGGAATCCTGGGATCTGAGGCCACATCTGCCTAATTGCAAAACTTATACTCTTTCCTTCAAACTCCATGTTCCAAGAATAAAAAGTGAATTGCCTTATTTCACTGGGCATCCAAATGGCACTGCAGTACTGCACTTAAGTAATACCTTACAAACTCCACAATAACAATGCAGCTGCTTTACCAAGAGGTTTCTTTTAAGTCAAACAACTGTTGAATACCACACTAAATGCYCAGGAGAGAGGGTCAGGGGTTGGTTTGTTTTGTGGTGCTGGGGATCAAATTCAGGACCTTGTGCATCCTAGTGCAAGCTGCACTATCACTGAGCTGCATCTCCAGCCCCGGGTCAAGGTGATGGCATTATAAAGAAGATAATGTTTAAATGACCACTTCTCTCTGTCCTTCTCAAACATGTACTCCACTTCCTCCCCCAGACATCTGTGTTTAGTAGACACCCATCCTTGAACATCACCCCAACCTCCGTGGCATATGCCAACAATCCCATGATGCAAAATCAGCATCTTGAAAGATAGAAATGGCCWAAAAGATTCATAGACAGCTGGGAGCTGTTGGTGGGAGGATTGCTCTGTGTGGAGAGACACACACCTGAACTCACCTTTCAGCTTAAGGAAATAATGAGAAGTAACCAACACACCCAGGAAATTATGCATCCAAACCCAGTTGCATATATGGAAACACTGTCCACGTGGTATGTAAATTGGCCTGACTGTGATTGGGCACAATGGTATATTTAAGATAAAAGACCCTGGGAAGGCCAGGCACAGTGGCTCATGCCTGTAATCCCAGCAGCTGGGGAGGCTAAGGCAGGAGGATTGCAAGTTCAAAGCCAGCCTTGGCGATGGCAAGGCCCTAAGCTATTCAGTGAGAGCCTTTCTCTATATAAAATACAAAATAGGGATGGGGGTATGGCTCAGTGGTTCAATCCCTGGTACCCGCACCCCCACCAAAAAAAGGGGAAAAAAAGACCACGGGAAAATCATCCCCACTGCAGCACGGACCCAGGGGCCTGGCTACACCAGCTACCTCTTCCTTTCAATGTTTCTGCAGATTTGGAACCTGCCTGGTAGGAAAAAGGCAGCTGGAGAAACCTGCTCTGCCCCTGCATGACAATCTGCCCCAGGGGGATTCTGTGGGTCTGGGGGGGCCACTAACCCACCAAGACAGGAATGTTACCATCAGTGTCGGAGTGGATGACATCAACGAACTGCGCATCGCTGGGATCTAATCTGTCCTGGGGGGGCCTCCCGTTGAATAAAGGGCCCGCAGGATCGAGACCTGGAAGGAAAACAGAGTGGCTTGGCAGCCCCATGCCATGAGTCACTGGCACTGTGCCTCTGATGCCTCCCAGGGAGGATGGTTCACAGGCTGCAGGCTCCCCTCCGGTGGGTGGGCGAGCACTCACATTCCCATCCTGCTTTGTCAGGACTCCTTTCCACAGCCCTGCAGCTATTTCCCACAGTAGAGATGGTTACCCTGACCATAGCCCTGTGAACCGTACCCMGACTTCAGAAGGAAGCACAGCCCAGGCAGAGCTCCCCACACAAGGGGGCAGTGGCGGGGATACACTGGCTCCTCAGGGAAAAAAGCACCCCAGGGTGCATAAAAGAGAAAAACTAAATGCTATATCTTATTTTATCTCATTTTTGGTGATCCAGAAACCCCATTCAGTCCTTCCTTCTTGTTATTAATAAAACTCCTTTATAGCTTCACTGGTATTCATATCCCAGCTCGTTAATTTGCATTGCAAACCTGCCAGAGAAGCAGGGCAGCTATTTTATAGATGAATGAACTGAGGTTTGGGGAGATCAAGCATCTTGAGGCGAGCCCTGCCTCTCGGGGCAACCTCCTCTGGGTGTTGAGCTCTTGGTTTCACCACACAGAGCTGAGCAAGCTCAACAGGAAAGGGCAAAGCTCACTGGCCAAGCCAGGTATCAAAGAGGTTGCCAGTCCCTGTAGATACCGCAGATATCACCCACTCCATAAGTGCCTGGACTCAATTCTTGCCAATATTAATGTTAACATTAACATCTTGTCAATATTAGCTGGGCGTTGCTCACATCACTGTGAAATAACTCGAAACATAGGGGAGCAGCCCCTATGATATTGTAACCACAAAATAAAAACTTAAAAAAAAAAAATCCAGAGGCTCAAAAAGGCACTTATTAGAGCCCTATGTAAAGTGAAGATCTCAAGGACATCTCCCTTGAAGYTTTAACCTGTGAATATCGCTTTTTAAAATTTTTGTTTTGGGTGCTAAGGTTTGAACCTAGAACCTTGAACACGCTAAGTTTCTGCTCTACTACTGAGCTATACCCCTAGTCCCTACAAATGTCATTTTAGATGACATCTCCTATCCCCTGTGTTACATATAAAATCCAACTTGAGCCTCTTTCCTTTAACTCTCCTGGTTCTAGCTTCAATCTCTCCATTTCTCCTCTCCCAATGCACTTCTGCTTCCTGGAGCCATTTATTTATCTACCCTCTTTTCTTATCTTCCCCCTCCCAGCCTTTCTTCCTCTTCTGTCCACTCCCAACTGAAACTGGTGTGGGAGGAGATGGGCAAACACCCAGTCCATATGTTGTTTTCAATACAACACAGCCTTAGAAAGAATGTGTCCCCCACCAGGAAGCTCCTCCTCCCTCCTCACATCAGACAGCACTACTTCCTGTCTAAGACAATGAAGAATGAGAGCCCCAGTTTATAGCAACCTCCAGGTCACTGGCAGAGAAAACATCTAGAACAGGGCAATTTTGAGAGTGTGAGGGCACTGTTCATAATCACACCAGGACAAGAGGTACAAACCAGGACTGTCACAAAAAACTTGGACTTATAATATCCATAGTGATATGCCATAGCAAGTGATCAGTTGACAATGTCAGTCAAAAAATTGACCAAAAATATGCAGGCTCACCAGGCATGGTGGCTCACACCTGAAAACCTAGCAACTYGGGAGACTGAGGAAGAAGAGTTACAAGTTCAAAGCCAGCCTCAGCAATTTAGTGAGGCCCTAAGCAACTGAGCAAGACCCTGTCTCAAAATGAAAAATAAAAAGGGCTGGAGATGTGGCTCAGTGGTTAAGAATCCCTGGCCAATCCCCTGCACTTAAAAACAAAACAAAAAACAAAAAACAAGAACCCTGCACATGGTATGAACAGACAGACATAAAGCACCACCAAAACAAAAACACATTTTATTTCATGCAAAATATTGTCATGTCCATGTCACCAGTAAAAGACTTAATATTCTCTATATTCTGTGTTTTTTGTTATTATTCTTCTCAGTCTTCTAAAGCTAATGTGTATTTCACACAACAGATTTCAGTTTGCACTGACCACATTTCAAGTACTTGGTGGTCATATGGGACTAGAGGTTACTCTATAGTTTCTCCAAGTGTGGAGCTCAGACCATCTATATTTTCTGGTTAAAAATACAGATTCCTGGGCTGGGATTGTAGCTCAGTGGTAGAGCGCTTGCCTAGCATGTGTGAGGCACTGAGTTCAATTCTCAACACCACATATAAATAAATAATAATAAAGGACCATCAAATATATATATATATATATATATGAAACAAAAATACAGACTCCTGCCTCCAACTCAGGCCACCCCCATTGGCATTTTCTCCAGCACCCCAAGGCAAGTTTCATGCAAACTTACAGTCAAGTTTGAGAATCAAATTTAAAAGTATTCATAAATGATCCAGGTACTTGAAATGTTTGCAACTCATTCACCATCCATCATCTTCTCTTGGAGAAGTTAAAGATAGGGGATGGGGATGTAGCTCAGTGGTAGAGTGTTTGGCTTGCAATGAAAGGAAAAACCAAGAGATATTCGTGGAGAGAGGCAAAAAGAGGGGCAGAAGAAAGAAAGAAATTGAAAACACAGCATCAAGCAGCCATCAAGACCATCAAGATAAGTAACAGACAGAGCCATCTGATCCATGGGAGTGAGATGTGAATTGTGTCCTTAGGTTACAGGTTCCATTCCCACCCTGCAACCCAGTGAGCCCACCCAGGCAAGGCCGAGGAAGAGGAGTAGGGAGGGGAAATGCTTTCTGCCTCAGCTGCTCTTGGGGAAGATGGAAACTAACCTTGGGATTCAGAGAATATGGAGGTTGAAAAGGGAGCTGTGGATGATCAGCTGAGTCCAGGCTACGGGGCAGGGTCACATGGGCCCAGAGTGAAAGGAAGGCTGGCCTGGGAATTTCCATGGTCAGAGACATCACCTGTTGTAATTCACTTTCAAAGTAATTGTGGGAACTGATTGGCTGGGAGGCTTAGGGGTGCACCTGACTTGCAGATGGTGGGCTGCAGAACAAATGTTGTTCATCTCCACCCAGACTCTGTGCTCAATTGATGTCATGTTGGTAGCTTGAGATCAGTCGTGGTGGGAGTTTTAGACCCCAGAAAATCAGCAATTGCTACAAATCAGGACTTGCTTATCAGCCTGTCCCTTTTTCTATTCCTTTCCCCTCTCTTCCTCTTTCTTTATTTCTTTCTTTCCTTCCTTCCTCTCTCCTCCGCCTCTTTTTCTCTCTCTCTTTTTAATTCCCACAAATTCAAACTCAAGCCATCTGACCTTTTTACAGGAGGAAAAATTTTAAAGACAACTTGCTTTCCAAAAATAGTAACAATACATTTTCAAACTAAAAAAACAATTTGCTTCCCCAAGAAAGCAGATTAAACAAGATGAGGAATCCTGAACCTTCAGATTAAAGCGAAATTTAAACAAATAACCAGAACAAACAATGTGACCTAAAATACATAGCTAGAATTGATGCCAGTCAATGTGGGATGTGCATGTATGGGAGAAAGAGAAAAAGAGATAAAGAGAGAGGGAGATAAACAGATAGGGACAGAGACAGAGAGATGGACACCGAGTCACAGGGATAGAAGTGACTTGCCCAGGGCAAGAGTTGGGGCTGTAGCTCAGTGGTAAAGCACCCCAGTACCTCAAAAGAATGGGAGAGGTCAAGGTCTTGGAAATAGAGAGCCACCCTTACCCTCAGCCCTTTGTGAATAGCTGTGGAAAGTTACTAAGCTCTAGGTAAGAGATCCCAGCAAGGGAGTCTTTGTTTGGGGTTTAACCTGCTGCATTTCTGAGTGTTTTCATTCAGTGTTTGCTGGAAAACTGATATTTACAGAGTCAGGCTCAGCCATCAAAATTCCGATATCATTTTCCTACCATGAGACTACTTCTGGGGACCGAGATGTACTAGGTATATAGTTCCACATTCTAGATTAAATGAAAGGAAGAAGACTCTTTTCAGGTCAAATAGATTAAATTCCCACAGGACATTGCAGTTTTCCTAGGTATAAAAGAAATTAAGTCACCACCCATCTTATCTGTGGCATACAATTTGTAAAGTGCTTTACATATATTTAATTAAATAATAACCTGAGGTTAACATTATTATGGTTTATCTTTTGCAGAAAGGAGTCCTTGCTTAGAGAGGTTAGATAATTGGAAGAGCTGGCTTCAAACCCGAGGACTAGGACTGCCTGTGTAATATCCCCCCCAGTGACCACCTGGCCCAAGCTATACCCCACAGACCCACAGGAGTCTTACCTGTAATTCTCCCCAACTGCCCATCATACATTTCTCCAACAAATCCAGATATGTGGGCTCCTAGACTTACTCCAATCATATAAATGTTGTCAAGAGAAGCTCCTTCTGCCTGGAATTCCAATAAGCCCATAGTTACAAATTGTGAGGAGTCAAAGAATTGACTACATATGGAGAAATTTCCTACCTATTGACTTTGGAGAAATATTTCTAAGTGTCTTACATCTATTGTCTCATTTAAATGTCACAAGACCCCCACAATATAAATACTATTCTTTTCATTATGCAAAGAATCTGAGGCCCACTGAAATCGTGGTAGAGGTCGGGAAATTGAGAGCATAGTAAAGCAGGATTCAAACCCACCAGCCCAATCCTAAACTTGTACCTTACCCTTTGTGTCATGGTGAGTCCACTCACACTGTTTGTTTTTTGTTTTGTTTGTACTGAGGATTAAAGCCAAGGGCCCTTAACCACTGAGCCACATTCCCAGCCCTTTTTATTTWTTTTTTTATTTTGAGACAGAGTGAGGTTAGCTTTGAACTTGCAATCCTCCTGCCTCAGCCTCCCAAGTTGTTGGGATTACCACCTGACTCCCACTCATGCTTCTGCTAGAAACTAAGTGGACACATCTTTAGCTGTAGATGGACACAGTACGTTGTTTGTTTTATTTATTTATTTTTATGTGGTGYGAGAATCGAACCCAGTGCCTCACACGTGCTAGGCAAGCACTTTGCCACTGAGCCCCAGCCCCAGCCCCAGCCCTAAGTAGACTGGGGAGAGGGATGACAGTACAATTTGATGAACACCCTTATCTTCATCCTGGCCCAGAGAATGAAGTCACCTTGGAGAGGGAAGGAAACAAGGGAAAAACCTGGAGAGGTGGACCACACTACCCATAGGCTACTGGGACAGCTTGTCCTGAATCATTCAAATATTCTCCTCCCTAGACGGTGGTTTAGGTGGGGGGCTTGGATAATACTCATGTCACCTATCTTCCTGATTTCATGCCACTTGTCATTGTTGCTGTTGTTAAAAGGAACAATGCATGAGGTGGGTCACTAAATAAATTTAATATCTGATAAGTCTTCTAGAAACATTAATTATCTCATCAGATCAGTTTTGGATAGCTGGGTCACTAAAGCTCTGGCACTTCTAGCAGAAAGAACAGCTACCAAAGTTGAAGCTCTAGATGTTTAAACCGGGAAGCTCCTAGACAGACCGCCTCTGACCCGTAAGACACTTTTATATGAACTAGAAAAAGAGCTGAGCATAATGGTATATGCCCTATAAAACCAGTGGCTCAGGAGGCTGAGGCAGGAGGATTGCCATTTTGAGACCAGTCTGGGAAACTTAGTGAGACACTGTCTCAAAATTAAGGGGGGAAAAAAAGTCTGGGGATATAGCTCAGTGGGAGAGCATCCCTGGTATCAAAAAAACTAAATTAAAATTTTAAAAGGCTAGGGATGTAAATCAGGGGTAGAGCACTTACTAAGTATGCACAAGGCCTTAGACACAATGCCCAGTGTCAAAATGAGAAAGAGAAAGAAAGCTTCCCCTTGCTATGATACTTCATTGTCATATGTGGGGAAATTATCATAGTAAACATGATAAATATGTAAATCTACAACATCTACAATGACAGTGCTGCTCCCTTACATCAGTGTCCTGTGCGGTACACAACCTGTACCACCAAACCTGTGGACCTTACTTAGGGTCCCTCTCTATACCTCCCTGTGCCTTATTTAGATTTGCAGAATTATACAAAATTGACCCCCTTTTCATTGAAGATATATCTCTTGGCTTTAAATCTCCAGGTAATTAGTCAGTTTCAATTTGACCACAAATCATACAAGAGAAGTCTTTCTTACCAACATCTGATCKATAAATTCCTTCAAGATGATGGCTACTTTTTTGGTCTTATTAGCGGCGTGGGTGTATATGACAGTTGTAGCTCCTCGATTCCAATCAACAACAACCACGTTCATGTGTTCTGCAGAGAGCAAAGCCTCTACTAAGTCTCCCATCCAAACTGGAGCGGAACCTGTTGGCCGGAATCCATGAATAATGAAGGTGGTTTTCTTGGTCACATTCAGGTTCCCCAAAGTTGTTGAGTTGATGATTTGTGCGCAGGTCTGGTTTCTCTTCGTATAGAGCATCAGCCTCACCTGCAGCCCAGTACCCACCACCGCACTGTGAAAGCTCAGTCTGGTGAATGAAGGGCATGTTTCAGCTGCATCTGAAAATAAAAATTAAATGGCATCATGACACCAAGGCTGCAAGAGGGTGCTGTCCCTCACTCACAGGAGCACTCATGCTCCTTACAGCACCTGGCCGAAGGCTGGATCTAGCTGAAATGAAGCGGCAAAGTCTCTTTTGATTCAGTGCTCAGAGGTAGCAACCTCTGGTTTCACCAGAAAACTATTCTTCCAAATCCTACCCTCCTTCAGGATCTAACCCAAGAGTCACCAATGAAGCCTTTTGCAATCCTCCAGACATAAGTACTATCCTCACCCCAGAATTCCCCAAATTCCTGCATGTACCTCACTGGCAGCACAATGAAATCACCCTATCAGGTGTACTAGTGTGTGGCCTACTAGACCAGTGTCCTTGAAATGGTGTCTTATAACTTGTATATGGCTCACAGTGCCCTGCACATGGTAGAGGACTCTGTAACTGTATCTGCAAGATCCAAGCACTTCTATTTTTTTAGTTGTCAGTGAACCTTTATTTTATTTATTTGTTTATTTATTTATTTATATGTGGTCTGAGGATCGAACGCAGTGTGTCACACATGCTAGGCAAGC